CGCGTGTCTTCAACATTCAAAGTTCAACATGCGAAACATTTGCAACAAAAGCAAAAGTTACAATTCAATTTCTCGGAATAAACAAGTCATTTTCTAAGCACTGACTCCGCATTTTTTATAATTTGTTTATAATTTTTTTAACAAGTTCCGATTCAACTAAATCAGCTCGCAATTTTTCGTCAATAATACCCAACAATTAATTTAATCTTTTGCAGGTTTGCACTTATGGGATTGAACACTAGATAATTTCTTTTTCGATTCCACAGTAACTTCAAACAAAGAAAAAAATCAATAAGTAGATTAAGCAATAAACGGAGCTGTTATTTACTAATTTGCAGAATTATTAATCGGTTAATTGTTTCCACTGATATCACATTGCAAAATAAATATGCCTTTTGTGTCTCCGTGTCCCTAGTTAAGTTAAATTATTTATTATAATTTATTAAGTATTCTGCATTTTAAATAATTCTAGATTTTATATAAAAATATAAATATTATATTATAATTTAATTTCCGAAACTCGTTTTGGCGCCCCCTAAGGCTTTGCGCCCGCATTTTTTGCATGCATCGCATGCAAGGCAGGACCGGCCCTGTGTCCAAGTTTATATAAGGATATTGCCATAGACAGACAAACTCGATGCACAAATACCTTTGTTTAAGTTCTTATTAAAATATAACTATCCTTTATTAGTTTGCGGAGCACGTGTTCAGGACATTCGACGCAAATGGCGACGGAACAATCGACTTCCGGGAATTCCTTTGCGCCCTCTCTGTCACCTCCAGGGGTAAACTGGAGCAGAAGCTGAAGTGGGCCTTCTCCATGTACGACCTGGACGGAAATGGATACATCAGCAGGCAGGAGATGCTGGAAATTGTCACGGTATAAAAGATAAAGATTAAGGATCGATGGGTATTTAAAATAAGGGACCGAGCATAATAGACAAATGTTATGGCAAGGCCATGTTGCGCTCCAACTTTCATGCATTATGGTATTGAATCATACTGAATACTGTCAGTGTTATGCATTCAGGCAGTTTCACACATAAACTGCAATGTCACTTGCATGTTATGAAGCTGGGTCAGAAAGACTCTGTTATCTAACCTTGTTTTTTTGACATTTGTACGGTTTCTAGGTTAGGTTTTCTATCTAACCACATGGCTTTTGTCAATATTTAGTATGGAATGTTCTTCATAACATAGCCTTGCTATAACATTGGTCTATTATGCGACAGAATCAGTCCCTAAATAACATATTTCCTCCATCAATTTTTCATTCATTTATTCAGGCCATTTACAAAATGGTGGGCAGCGTGATGAAGATGCCAGAAGACGAGAGCACCCCTGAAAAGCGGACAGATAAAATATTCAGACAGATGGATCGAAACAAAGATGGTAAACTGAGTCTTGAAGAGTTCATCGAGGGAGCCAAGAGTGATCCTTCCATTGTGAGGCTTTTGCAATGTGATCCACAGTCTCAGTAAAAAGATAAATTATAAGATATAAAATATGATAAAAAGGTAAAGTGTAGTTAGAGTTATAATAGTAATAATGGATTTCTATCAACAGATAATTATATATATATATATATATATATATATATCCTTTATCTTTATCCTTACAACCTGATATCATGCAGTAGTGATATCAACTTTCATTTCAAAGCATAGATATAAAATATTTGTATTCAGGTTGTGAAATGGCTATAAAAAATCTATCAACAGAAACTTTCCTATATCAAGTTTATTATTATAACTCTAGAAACATAAAATCTTATAACAAACTGGTCAAAATATTTATTAAATATAAAAAAGGTTGTTTCGATTTTATCGATTTACCTATTCGACTACATTATTCCAAAGTAGTTAGTCGAAATAAATTACTATAGATTAAGAAGCAAACGGTTTGCTTTGTTTTAAGCAATTTTTTAAAATGAATTGGTAAAGGATACTTATCCTATTGTACTACTTATATAAAAAAAATCACTAATATTGTCATATTTATTAAATATCTTGTAACAGTTAGTCTAATATAATTAGACCAGTTACAAAATGACAAATGTTTAATTTTTTATATTGTCTATCAATTTTAAACCATTATTTATGTATATTATATATATATATATATATATATATATATATATAAATTTTATTATAATGTATCCTTTACCAGTTTATTTTAACAAATCAATCCCCCTACGACAACTAAAAAGACAATTAAATAAATTTTCTCTTTCACAATGTCACCATTGAATCTTTTCAATAAACAGAGTTGAAAAAAATGACGCTTAAAAAATTAATTATTAATTATTAATTACTAATTATTCAAACAACTGTTGAAAAGAAAATGAAGTTGAAATAAAAAAAACAGTTGCTTGTAGTTAGGTTAGATTAAAAATATATATTTATTATTAAATAAGAATAAATAATAACTGACGATGCACACATCTTTAATTTGAATATTGATAATATGGCTGTTTCGATAAAAAGGATTATTAATATTACTCAGCTTTTTATTATGAATTAAAATTCATATAGGATTATGATGAATGTATGTATGTGTAAATGTATATGCAGTGAAACCAGGAACGTAACGGTTACGTAACTTAGGGAAAATGTAATACACATTACATAACACAGGTTTTAACGTAAGAACGCAACAAAACCTGATAAACGTAGTATTTTAATTACTTTTGACAGATTTCATAGTTGCAACGTAACTGGATCTAAACAACGCATTTGTGTCGTTCTTGTTACGTTGCTATATTAAAATAGTAGCATTTATATTTCTTCATAATTTCATAAACCTTTTTCCATTATAAAATTTAAAACCTGCATTTGACACAGTATTACATTCATGTGACAAACAAAGATAAATTTATAATATTAAATATAAATTTATAAATATTATTATATTATAATAATAAATTTTATGAATATTATTGTTCACGCGTTCGAAACGTTTCATAAACGTAACACTTGCAACATGTATAAAACTGTATTACGGATCTTTATCGTTTCTCCTGTTACGTATTTGTTACGTAAATTTAACATATGCGTGTTTTTCTGCGATACATTTATATGTATATGCGATAATTGTATACATGTATTGTATTAAGCTTGTATTTATTTATTTAGTGTATAAAAACTATTCGAAGGAATTAAAAACAAATTTTGTGACATTGAACTAACTTGATACTGCATTAGCCGATTGTACTATTTATAGTATAACTAGGAATTGTAGATAACTATTCATTTTTTTTTCAAGTATTACTTACACATACACACAGCCATGCACACACACATTTTTCTATTCAATAATTTTGTATTCAATTTTGACTATTAGGCCCTAGAGCAACTCAATAAGCTCATGAAACCTTAAGAATTTGAAGAAAATATAATTTTAAGCTAATGTGGGTCAATACTATATTTATTTCTATATTTTTTTTTAAACTTTAGTTTGATGTTTTTTATTTTGTAAATTTGTTGATATTAATTTACAACTTTGTAGTAATAACTAATGATAATTTATTTATCATTATATTTTTTTAGACCTTAAAACTCCCTTAAATCTTTATATAATTATTTATACATGTGTCTATCTTCACTAATATAGCTGAGACTAGACTTCATTATTTTCTGAAACTTGGCTTCCACCAAATTCATTGCAGGGTCAGTCATTTTAAAAATGATATCTGGATGAGCATTGTACAGATTTTGGTCTTTGGTGGATATTTCTTTAAAGAATTTTGTTTTACCACCATTTCTTTGGGCCTCACCACTGCCAAATCATTTATAAAATTCATCATCTGTTTCAAATTGACGCTGTCGCCACTAGATTCTTTCTCGGCGAGGACCAGAATTTCTTTGGTGAGAATACTAACAATTGAATTGATGTCAAAGTTGTCTTTGATTTGAAACACGCCTTGTATCAATGTGTTCTGGTAGTTTATGTCTGTGTTTTTGATGATGTGAACAAATTTTATGACAAAGGTGCTCAAATGATTGTAGCTTTTGAGAAGGGTACCGAGAATCTGGAAGATCTTCTCACGGATTGCTTCTGATTTTTTATATAATACATCAGCATTACTTTTGCTTTGCTTTTCTTCTGTTTTCTCTGATCGAACTTTTTCTCTAGCTCAGAAATAAACTCGTTCGTAATGTACAAAACTATTTTAGTCTTGTTTAGAACATTGACGACATCGTACATTTTCTTACTAAAATACAAATCTAATTTCGTGTTCAATTGAGACTAAACTTTTTGCAAGGTTTCGGAGTAAAAAGTGATGTTTTTCCAATCCAAAGCGTTCAAGTGTTTTGTAACATAATAGTAGACATCAAGAAATTGCTGTATGTAGTCTTCTAAATCACTTTTGCCAAAATTTTTTGTCAGTTCTCTATAATTGTTTGATAGATGGTTAACCCTGTTTTCTTCTAACACAGCCACTTTCCACTGAATCGCTTTTTTTAGCAGGAATAATAAAAACGCTCGTCATTTTGCAACTATTGTTAAAAACGCTCTTTACTGTCCATTGTCTTGTTGACTTCAAACGTTTATTTGAAGTCAACAAGACATTAAACTGTAAAAATGCAATGGCGCAATTTATATATGCCATTATTCGGGGATATTGGATCTCTCTGTCTTCAGGATATATTTAAAACACAAACAATTGTTTTATAGACTTGTTCACATTCTAATTATTCAAAATTTGCAAGATTTAACAATGTTTTACTAAAAATTTACACTTAAAATTATAAGTTTTTATACTTACATTAGAGTTTAGAGATGAGTGTATGTATGGATGCAAATGTATCGAACGACTGAAACTTTTTAAGTTTTTATAGGTTTTTTTTTTGTTAATCTAAATCTAAATTGATAAGTTTTATGGAAAAAAGTATGGTGAATTGTGTGTGTATTCTTGAATTTATTGTTTGTGGAATCATCTTTATAAAAATTGATTCTGCAAAATTCTTTTTAGTATTTGAATTTTTATCTGTGAGAAGTCAAAAGTGTGTTTTGTGCCTGTTGTATGTTTCTTGATGTATTTGTAGAAGTATAACGTTTATTAAAGGCATTTATTTTCTGCCACTCGTTTCTGTTTTTATAAAAAGAAATTAAATTATGCTGATATATTTAGAGATATTAGAAGTTTTTGAAAGCTTTTTACTCTACAGAATTTTTATTCATTTTTGTATTTGAAACAAAAAATAAAGACATTTTTAAGGGAGTTTAGAAAAAATATAATAATAAATAATATCCATTATCTGAAGAAACTATAAACATGTATTTAAAACAAAACAAAGATAAATAACAAGATGTTTTATGTCACAAAATTTGGAATTGACAGTCGATATTCATATTATATTAGTCATACCATAAATTTATATATATACATACATAATATATATATATATATATATATATATATATATATAAATTTATAAACTTATATATAAATATTAAAAATAAGTTAGATAAATGAAAATTAATATTCTTAGGCTAGAACACTTTAAAATATTACAATTATATATATATATATATATATATATATATATATATATCAAAATTACTAAATGTTAAGACAAAATATGTATTTAAATCATCTTTGTATATATATATATATATATATAAAATTACATATATATACAAAGATTTTACTACCCCGATGGCTTCTCGATAAAAAAACACTTATCCAATTTCTACTCGTAACTAAAATTCCAAAGCATTAGTGATTCTATAATATCCTATTCTATATAAATAGCAATTAATTAATTTACAACTAATTCAATATTCTATCCTTAAATATAAATAATATATTGTTCGATTGGAGACATCGACGGATTTATTAGAAATAGATAGAATTAAATAAAAATGAGAATCATGATGATGATTTAATATGTATACGTTAATTTTTAAAAATTGCGTCATTGTGAAGTCCTGCACTATTTTGTGAAAGACGATGTTAATTTTGTTTTGTTATATGCCAATTTATAAGTCATTATAATGAAAACTTAATATTTAAAAGTTTAATTATTGAATTTATAGCAAAAAATAAGTTTGTTGAAAGTATATTTTTGAAACTCGCGCCATTGTCTGTGAAACGTTTTTAAAAGTTCGTAGATAACTTCACTTTATATAAAATGGTGGTTCAGTTATTGTTCAGTTGAATATCAATTTAGTGATTTTAAATGAAAAGTTATTGTATATTACTTTGTAGTAATTAATAGTAGATTTAATTTTTTAATTAATACTGTGTTTAAAGTAAATATTGATACAATTTTAAAAATCGCGGTATTTATGCATCGTTTTTTAAGTTTTGTTGATAACGATTTAAAATGGCGGTTTACCAAATGTCAAACGTGCAATAATTACAAATATACTTTCAAAATAAATTTATAAATACATAATTAAGTACCATACAGTATTAAATACAATTGTGTTGTTTTGATGTAATGCACTGATCATAAAAATGTTTCAAGTTCTTGGACAAAAATTTAGTTTTTACAAATCATTCGGGACAATTTGGCATTCTACCAGGTTCTGTACAAAACTTTGCTAAAAACATTTACAAATACTTCATAATTCATATTCAATCCTTTATATTTCTAATAAGTCCACCAATGTCTCCTAAATTCTTCTACACAAGTCCTCAAAAAACATTTCAATATAATTTTCTAACGTCTTCCCTTAAGTTGTCAAAATAATTATCATCTTCCTTCTTTTTGCGTTTGTTGAAGTAGTATTTTTTTTAACTACTTTAATTTATTTCAATGGGTTTGTTTTGATATATATTATTCAATTTATTGCTTTATTTTATTTTAATGAGTAATCGTATTGTGCTAAAGCGATATTAAGGGCTAAAAGACATGGGTTTGAACCAGGGGAGATGTAAATTTATGGATAAATGTTTATATATACAGAAAAGAAGGATAGATATATGAGAGAGAGATAAGAGAGAAAGGAGAGAGAGAGAAATAGATATATATATATAAATATATATATATATATAATATATATATATATAAAAAATTGATGTGTATATATAAATGTTTTTTTTCATTTCTACTCGTGTGGACGTTTTTCAAGTGTTATTTAGATGTTACATGTGCATATGTATATATATATATATATATATATATATATATATATATATATATATATATATATATACAATTAAAACAAAGTTATCAAAAAATATTAAAGTACATTTTGGAAAAAAATACATTTAAATATTTCTATAATCAATTCTTATTTGTGTACTAGATAAAAGTTTCATCATATAATTGTTATATATATATATATATATATATATATATATATATATATATATATATTATAACTTTATTTATTCAAACGTGCTTATGCATTTATTTATTACTTATTATTTGCTTCTAATAATACGTCTTAGTTAAAATTTTTATTAACGATAATATAAAGTCTATTTCTCACAAAGAATTCATTAGAATTTGCATTAAATATTTCACATTTATATTTATTCAAAAATGTACTTTAATATTATAAACGAGTCCTTTTCCCTATATGTAACAATGCTGCATTTGAATTTTCAGTGATATAAACGTAATCGAGTGATTGTTTCAAATGTATGATCATTTAAGTAAATAAAAAAACATGATTTATACATTATTTTTATTTCAAAGCATGCAAAAGATATTTTCATGAATAATAAGGACAAAAGGATACCAGGAATAACTATTCGTGAATTAGTAATGGAGACAATGAAAAAGTTTTGCAATGATGAAATAATTAAAAAGAAATATAAATGATGATTCTGTGCAAAGAAAAATTTTGGTTGCTGAGTGGAGTGGAATTTTTATCAATTTGAAAATGATATCAAATTGCAACTTTTACATTCAAATCAGAAGGATTTGAAGAATTTGCGGAGGTTTTAGTCGGTATTATACCAGGGCGGTATCGAGTCCGACATACCCAGACAGAAGACCGGTCTGGGATGCATAAAAGCATTTCCTTCGCTATACAAAAAAAAAAAAAAAAAAAAAAAACATTCAAATCAGACTTGTCAAACACATACACATTTTTTTGTCCATGACTTTTACGGCAAAGTTTTTGCTGTTTTATTTTCATGAAAGATTCAAAGATCCCCACGGATTTTATTTCTGTGAAATATTCAAAGATATTTATCCACGGATATTTAAACAAAGTTATTGCTGTTTTATTTTCATGAAATATTCAAAGATATCTATCCACGGATTTTATTTTCATGAAATATTCAAACATATATCTATCCACTGATTTTTAAACAAAGTTTTTGCCAAAATTCAAAATTACCTTTGAATATTTCATGAAAATAAAACGGCAAAAACTTTGTTTAAAAATCCGTGGATAGATGTCTTTGAATATTTCATAATAGTCCATGATTTGAACTTGATATTTATTATATTCAAATTGAATAAAATGAGTTTTAAACTAGTGGGGCGCATGGCATCTAGCCTTAAGGCAAATTGCTGGAACTTTCCGTACCAAATATTATTATTTTTTTAAAAACGATTAACATTTTTGAAAAAAAAAAATACTTCGAAAATATTAGATTATTGAGTAACTATTTTTTAAAAAAAATGTTTTCTTTATTTTGACATATTTTGGAAATTCTGAACTTTTTTAAAGCAATCGTACTGCTTTAACTGCATAGAGACAAAATGTCAAAGCGCGTAAGCGCCGCGTCGCCGCCTAACGGATGAACATTGGTACGGAACCCATAGGAATGTAAACAAAATTTATACTTATCGTTAAAATCTCTATAAAATATCTGATAATTTGATGTACATATGTCTAATGATCATTTTTGACCGCCAACTGGCATTTTTTTTTACTTTTTTTACCTCCGAAACCGCTAGACCTGTCAGCATGAAAATTTGACCAGTTCTTCATCTTGTTAATGCAAGTAAAATGTTATTTGAATTATTCAAATCGGACGCTCCGTTCTCTAAAAAACTGAGTTAACGTTTTTGGCACTTTTTGCGTCAATCTTCGGAACGGCTAGACCTGCCGTCACCAAAAACTAATCAGCACGTCTCCTTATCAATACGAATCGATTGTTTTTTGAATTATTCAAATCGCTTCATCCGTGTTCCCGAAATCGTCGACGAAAATTTGTATCCGCACACACACGCACACACACACATCCATTTTTTTTAAGGTATGCCAAAATATCAAGAAACCTTTGAAACGTAAAGATATATAAAAAATTTCATTTTCGATTCTTATGCGATTACTATAACTTACCCTGAATGAATATTTATCATATTCATGCTTTTTTAAACACATGTTACTGAATTTGAATATATAATCTCCACTGCACGAACGCGCACAACGAATCCTGTTTTTGACATGCGCGCGGTTTGCTTTAACATTTACAGACAATAAACCTTCATTAGAGAAATAAAGTAATTGCTGATTAATAAATTCTATAATATTCGTTAATACAGTGGATTATGTTAAACAACGTCTAAACAAATATTGTTTTTGCAACTCTACTCATCATATATTGGTGTTTGTAGAACTTCATGTAATTAAAATTAACATACATTCATTGACTGCTTGTTTTTTCACTTTTTTGCTGGCGATATAATCTTATCTTTGAACAGCTGTAGTATCTGTCTTGCCTAGAAAATATTTTCTATTTTAATAACTTCAAAGATTTATAGAAACTACGAATAATGTAGTAATAATTTATAATCTCAAATAAAACTTACGTTTAGTACACAGCGCAAATGTTTAATTTGTTTTATTATTTTCAAGGAACAGGGTAAAATATTCTTCTGATTCAGGCATTTTTCATTAAATCAAGATTTGTACTTCTATGTAACTTTGAAATGTTTATTTATCTATGCCGATTTTCTTGTTGATATCGGTACGCATACAACGTTGATGCCGTTACGCATACAACGACAGATCTTTATTCACATACAGGACGACTAATCATAATCGACCCGTATAGAAATTATATCACCAAGAGCGAATGACGAATCATTGGCACTCGACTCTTATCTGCCGTAACGCACTTTCGTTGCATTTGTCCGGATTTACACTCTAGTCGCGCCTTAAGAAGTTTTACTTCAGAATTGTATTATATTAATAAAATATTTTATTATGTATGAATGAATAATATTCATATTTAAGTTTTCTGTCGTATGAGTATATGGTAAAATTATTGAATTTTTTTGAAAATGTTTGAATTTTTTAAAAATTTAGGTAAAAATTAAATACCCGTGATATTTTACTACACCCCTCCCTCCCCCTCGTGATATTTAACTTCCCATATGGTAAGTTATTGTAATATGCCAAAAATCGAAATTGAAAATTTTTACATTTCTCGACGTTTTGAAAGTTTCTGAACATTTTGGCATACCTCAAAAAATATGGATGTGTGTGTCTGATGTATGTATGGATACAAATTTCCAGTCACGTTTTTGGGCGCACGGATCAACCGATTTGAATGGTTCAAAAAACATTCGATTCCTATTGATAGGAAGATGAGCTGATTAGTTTTTGGCAAAGGCAGGTCTAGCAGTTACGGAGATAAAGAGCAAAGAGTGCAGAAAATAAAAATCGAGTTTTTGAGAGAACGGAGCATCCGATTTGAATGTTCTAAAAAACATTCAATTAGTAATGATTTGGAGAAGTGTTTATCAGATTTTGGCAAAAGCAGGCCCAGCCATTTCGAAAATACGGAACTATATGTGCAAAAAATAATAATCTATTTGAAAACATTCAGTATTCCTCGAACATTTCGTTATGGTACGGGAAGTTCCAGCAATTTGCCTTAAAGCACAATGCCATACATTCAACTAGTTCGTGTTTTTTTTTTTGTCAAACCCCATTTTCCAATTTTCCTTACGTGATTAATGGACGTACTGGACGCACCCTTACATAAATCCATAGACAAAACAAGTGTACATCTATCAGAAACTATCTCTATGGTACATTATCTACTGTCAGTTTCCCTGCAACAATCGGCGTGTGTCCCTCTATGTGTCCTTTCCCAATTCAGCATTTTGGCTGATGCAATCACAAATGTATTTTTATCAATATTTAATACAAATGTGTGTATAAATTACAGTGTTCTCGTTACTTATTGTCTTTATTTATAAACTACTGTAGTCTTTTGGAAAAAATAAAAATGACAGAAGAAGAAGCAGTAAGTATTGAGAATATTTTTTGGTGACAAAAATGGGGTTATATGCGTTTTCGTGGAATGTGCAGTCGTGGAAAATAATAAAATAAAATGGAATTATGAAGTGCGGTTTGTTTATTTTGGGTGCAGAAGGTGGTTTTGGGGGGGTTTTGTTTAATTTATTTGTTGTGGTGGAAAACACCACGAGGTACTGTCACTTTTGGGGCTCGAGGGGCAAGGTGTTGGTTGTTACAGTATGGCGGATTATTTAAATGTTTAAAGTTGTTATAGACAGACAATGAGCTGTATTTAAATTCCATATATACACACGAACATTATTTATTTAGCATTTGCAACATTGTGATAATATTTTCTTTACAGATTTATTCTATAAATTTTCAAGATACATCACAACTTCATTATATATATATATTTTGGGGATTTTGGAGTTTTCAATTATTTGGTTTTGATAAACTATAAACAATGAACATTTGACTTATCCCTTAAGTAACAGCAATATAATATTGTAGTTGCAGAAAATTATATTCTAGAAAATAAATAACTCAAATGCAAAAGAATTTACATGTTCTTGGCCGGATTTCAGATTTTTTTGTGGAATTTAACTTTCCTTTATATTTTGCAAGACACGGGTACAATAACAACACTATAGGAAATATTATTTTATATCATAAGTATTTTTCATAATGGTGAGGATTACTCTGATTAATCAGATATTCAGCGGACTGTAAATTATAAATATTCCATCACCACAAAAAAGTGAATAAAACAGCTATTTAGTTTATGATATATATTGATAGGCCTTTTGTACATATATTGATATGCCAAATGTACTAGAAAATTGTTTGAACAGATCTTCTCGATTTGTTGACAATAAATATAAATAAATGAGTACTAAGTAGAGTAAGTAAGAGTAAGAGTAAGAATATTTACGTAAAATCGTGTATTCTGCTTAGATCTTACAAAGTATGTCTGAATATAATTGTAAATGAGTTATCTTAACTATTTTCTTATTGTAAATATTATTTGTGCTTTTCTGATGTTCTTTTTAAAATTTTTAGCACCATTCTTTCCAAAAGTGTATTGAACTGTCCAGGCGCTATTGTATGTTTAGGGGGCGTCCATTAATCACGTGAGGTTTTTAGGGACAAAAAATCACGAAATATCACGTGGGGGAGGGGGGGTATAGCAAGATATCACGTGTATTTATTATTTTTACTATTTTTTATAAAAAAGTTCAAACATTTTTAAAAAAAATTAAAACTGCTACAGTTTTTTCACGTAACTAAAAATACACGTGATGTTTGGTGGGGGAGGGGGGGGGTAATTTTGAATATCACCAAGGGGGAGGGAGGGTCTAAAAATCCTTAAAAACTCGCTCACGTGATTAATGGACGCCCCCTTAGCAAAAGTGTCAGTCAGTTTTTCTTTTGATGTGCAAAACAAGAAAGTACAATTAAATTCACACAATAATTATTTTATCATTATTCTTAGTTATTGATCAATTATCCTTTTCCAGATGTTTGACTTGTCCCTCAAGAAGAAGAAAAAGAAGAAGACAGCGTTCGATATTGATGCAGTGCTGGGAGATGACAGCAGCACCCCTATGGAAACTAGTGAACCTGTTGAAGAAATCCCCGATATTGATTTGGATGGGAAAAAAAAGAAAAAGAAAAAGAAGCCTTTTAATTTAGATGAATTGGACAATGCCTTACCAGGTACATAGATTACTTATATTTATATTTAATGGGCTGAAAGTGTTGCAATTGGTCTAAAAATGTTGCAATTGGTCTGTAAGTGTTGCAATGGATTGGTCTGGATGTGTAGCAGCAGTGCAAGTTGTCTGAAAGCATTACAATTTGTCTAGAAGCGTTGTAAGTTGTCTGGAATTGTTGTAATTAGTCTAAAAATGTATATTTACATTTGTTTTTAACAAACTGAAAGTGTTGTAATTGTCATGAAAATGTTGCAATTGATGTGAATTTGTAGTAATTGGTTTGAAAGTTTTGTGATTACTTTGAAAGTGTTGCAGTTGGTTTAAGAATCTTGTAATTGGTCTGAAAGTGCTGCAACTGGTCTGACAGTGCTGTAACTGGTCTGATAGTGCTGTAATTGGTCTGAAAATGTTGCAATTGATTGGTCTGGATTTGTAGTAAGTGGTCTTAAAATGTTGTAAGTTGTATGGAAATGTTGTAAGTTGTGCAGCAGTGATAGCATTGTAAGTTGTCTCAAATCGTTGTAATTAGTCTAAAAATGTTTATTTATAGTTGTTTTTAATGGACTGAAAGTGTTGTAATTGTTCTGAAAATGTTGCAATTGGTCTGAATTTTTAGTAATTGGTTTGAAAGTTTTGTGATTATTCTGAAAGTACGCAATTAGTTTGAGAATTTTGAAATTGGTCTGAAAGTGCTGTAACTGGTCTGATAGTGCTATAATTGGTCTGACAGTGCTGTAACAGGTCTGACAGTGCTGTAACTGGTCTGAAAATGCTGTAACTGGTCTGATAGTGCTGTAATTGGTCTGAAAATGTTGCAATTGATCGGTCTGGATGTGTAGTAAGTGGTCTAAAAATGTATTGTAAGGTGTCGAATCGTTGTAATTATTCTAAAAATGTATATTTGTACTTGTTTAATGGACTGAAAGTGTTGTAATTGTTCTGAAAATGTTGCAATTGGTCTCAATTTGTAGTAATTGGTTTGAAAGTTTTATGATTACTCTGAAAGTGTTGCAATTTATTTGAGAATCTTGTTATTGGTCTGAAAGTGCTGTAATTGGTCTGAAAGTGCTATAACTGGTCTGATAGTGCTGTAATTGGTCTGAAAATGTTGCAATTGATTGGTCTGGATTGTAGTAAGTGGTCTTAAAATGTTGTAAGTTGTCTGGAAGTGTTGTAAGTTGTGCAGCAGTGATAGCATTGTAAGTTGTCTTGAATCGTTGTAATTAATAATGTTTATTTATAGTTGCTTTTAATGGACTGAAAGTGTTGTAATTGTTCTGAAAATGTTGATTTGAATTTGTAGTAACTGGTTTGAAAGTTTTGTGATTACTTTGAAAGTGTTGCAATTGTTTTAAGAATTTTGTAATTAGTCTGAAAGTGCTAAAACTGGAGTGATAGTGCTGTAATTGGTCCAAAAATGTTGTACTGGTTCAAAAATGTTTTATTTAATTGGTCTGAAAGTGTTTCAATTGATAGACCTGAAACTCTTGCAATTATATTTGATTTTATACAAGTTAATTAGCTGTTGTTTCTATAATGTAGCAAGATTTTATTTTCAAAATTTGTATTTTATGTTTATAAAAACAAACATTGAGTGGCTCTGCAATTGATTGGTCTGGAATGTTGTTGTAAGTTGTTCGGTTGTGCTGTAATTGGTCTGGAAGCATTGTAATTGGTATTCAAATATTGCAAGGAAGAATTGCAAGTTGTTTGGACGAATTGCAAGTTGTCTGTCTGGGACAGTTGCACAGTTGTCTGGAAGTGTCTAAAGATCAGTAAATGTTGCAAGTTACCTGGAACATTTGCAAGTTGCCTGGAACATTTGCAAGTTGCCTGGAACATTTGCAAGTTGGAAGTTGCCTGGTAGTGTCTACAGATGAATAAATACATTGTAGTTTGTCTAAAAATGTATTTTTATATTTGTGTTTTACTTTTATAGATAACTAATATTAATATTTACTAATTATATTCATTACCAAACTTTATTTCAGGTTTTTAATATGCATATAAATGCTGACAACTGTTTTTATTTTCTCAGAAAGTAAAGAAGGTGCTAATGATGCTGCCGAATCAGGTGCAGCTCCCGAAGAGGCCCCTGTAGATGATGATTTTGATCTGGACATGGACTTTTCGAAAACGAAAAAGAAAAAGAAGAAGAAGAAGGATTTAGATGTTCTGGTTTCAGAAGAGGATCAGAAATCTGAGGACAAAGAGAATGGTAAATAGATCACTACTACTATGTAATTTAAAAGATTATGGTATAGTTTGGAGCAGATTTTTGTGTTGTTAAATTCCTACAGTGATTTCAAAATAATTTTTTTTCTATAATAATTTTAATACAACATGCTGCACCGATTTGGAAGGCAAGTTTGAAACCGGTAAGATAAATACATTTATCATTTACCAAGTGCTCTCAAATTATTCAGTTGTATGTATTACCATTAACATCATGTATTTGCTGTATATTAATTAGTTTTGTACTTTAGTTGAAATGAGCAGTACCTCATGGCATGGTTCTGATCGTGATTACACATATGACGAGTTGCTGAATAGAGTTTTTGAAATTATGCATGACAAGAATCCTGATATGGTAGCAGGGAAAAAGCAGAAGTTTGTAATGAGACCTCCACAAGTTGTGAAAATTGGAACAAAGAAGACTTCATTTGCTAATTTCACTGATATTTGCAGAACCCTGCATAGGTAAGTAGAAATAATTGTTACCTTGTAGCTATGAAATTGTTACTTTATAGATATTTGTTTATACATTTGAATATTTTGTTTTTAGGCAACCTAAACATTTATTAGATTTCTTGTTAGCTGAATTGGGTACCAGTGGTTCCGTAGACGGTAACAGTCAATTAATTATTAAAGGCCGTTTCCAGCAAAAACAAATTGAAAATGTTTTGAGAAGGTAAAAACAAATATATATATATATATATATATATATATATATATGTAGTGCTCTGAACAAATAAGTAAAAAGTAATAAAAAACTTCCATCTTCAGGACATCTGTGGAGAAACATGATCTTGATAAGATTTAAGCAAACAATATGCTTAAGAAAAGCAAAAGATAATGAATTTTTTTTATATAAAATGAATGAAATTGTGGAAAAAATAATGTACAGAAATATGACAATATAATCAAAATGAAAATGATAAAAATAAATGAGTGGATTATATAACAAAATATTAAAAATATTAATAAAATTAGAGGGTTTAGGGAAGTTTTAAGAAAAGGTTACTGAAAAACAGAATTAATTACCTGTGGATTGATTATACACTAACACTTTTTGACCAAAAAATACTTTCCACTCTTTTTTAGTGAAAAAGTGTTAGTGTATAATCAATCATACAGGTAATTAATTCTGTATTTCAGTAACCTTTTCTTAAAACTTTCTAATTTTTAACATTTTTAATATTTTGTTATATAATGCACTCATTTTCTTATCATTTTCATTTTGATTATATTGCCATATTTCTGTACATTATTTTTTTCACAATTTTATTCATTTTATATAAAAAATCCACCAATCCAATCTTCTGCTTTTCTTAAACATATTGTTTGCTTAAATATTATCAATTGCACTTCTTGGAAAACCTATAAAAACTCACTAGATGAAGTAAAGAAATGTTTTTTTAAAAAACTTCTGTTTTTTATTACTTTTTGGATTCTTTGTTCAAAGCTCTACAAAATTTATACTGAATGTACCAGATGTAACAGTGCTGATTTTTTTTTTTTTTTTAAATTATGAGCTTTTAAGTGCAACCTAAAGTTTTAGTGAAATTATTTATTTATTTATTTATTAAAATTATGACCATTTGTCGGTTATTGTGGTTGATTTTTATTAATTTTGTTTGATTAAACTTCAGTAAAGAATTTGGTAAGAACATTAAAGAATAATTTCACAATTGTCCAAATTTTCAAAAATTAAGACTTTGTTTAACTCTGAATTTAAACTTTTTATAATCATTTAACTTTTAGAGACCTTTCAAAAAAATGTACTTCTAAATATTTACAAATCTAAGACCTTACCATCTAATATATATATACAATACATATATATATATATATATATATATATATATATATATTATTATTATTATTATTATTATTATTTTAGGTATATCAAAGAATACGTAACCTGCCACACCTGTCGTTCCCCCGACACCATCCTGCAGAAAGACTCACGTCTGTTCTTCTTGCAATGTGAATCTTGTGGATCCCGTTGCTCTGTCGCCAGTATCAAATCAGGTTTCCAGGCCGTTACTGGAAAACGTGCTGCCATCAGAGCAAAGACAGCTTAGGAAATTTATTATTAATTATTATTTGTTGGAAATTCACACACATACACACATATACAAATGCAATAATGTACACTTTGAATTGAATACATAAACAACCTGAGGAACAGTATCGATATATATAACAGAAATGTGTTTATCTAGATTGTTAGAATTTTATATAAATAAATAACAGGATCTGTAAAGGAGGTGGAGACTTATTTATGGCTTTTAATTTTTTTTTTATTGAGTGTTAAGTGACAATTGAAGATAGAAAAGGAAAAAGGGGTCTGCAATATATACAGAGATAATAAATAGATTGTTCGACAAAATTCAATTAGCTTTCACAGATATTTTCAAATATTTATTTGTTTGTACAACTAACTAAACAGTTTGACTATTGGCAGCAGAATAAACAACGAAAAATATATACATAAAACATGATATAAATGTCTAAAATTCAAAACTGATTTATACTTGATTGTTTAAACAATTGAGCAGAGTTTAAATAACTGTTGAAATGAAACAAAATAAAAAAATATGTACTTTAATAAGAATTATACTTTTTGTATAAATATTTGAATAACAGTTCAAGTTCTGTTGTTTGTAGTTGCTTTTGTGTTTTTTAAAAAGATAATTTGTGTAAAATTTTCTATATTTTATTTTATTTTTTAATTATAATTTATACTTTATGTTATCCATTACTCACCATTACTCAAGTTTTCTTGTTTGTAGTTGCTTTTGTGTATTTTATTTTTGTGGTAAATTTACTATATTTTATTTTATTTTTATAATTATCATTTTATCCATTACTTTTTATAATAGTTTTGTACATCTACAACTTTTTAATATTAGTGTTTATATACTGTAAATATTTTCTATTAATTGTTTAAAAATTTTATGTTCTTATTGTATCATTTTTAATATTGTGTTTTGTAGTTTTAGATAGCGAAGAAGATTGGCAAATTGGGAATCAAAACGTATGGAAGATTTAATCAAAACTGTTTTAATCCTAATTTAGTTTTAATAACTGAAAGGATGGTTTTATAATGTATATATATATATATATATATATATATATATATATATATATTAAATGTTAAATATGAACAATACAACACACACTTTATTTAATAATTACAGACGTTTCGAGACCATATGGTATGCTTAATCTTCAGTGTAATTTCAATACAGTAAAAATTATATACTAATACATTATTATTTAATATTTTATTTAAATTATATTTAATTTTTGAAAAACAAAAAACACCAACTATCTCTTACAATGCTTGACAAAGTAGTAAACATGTGAATATATACAGAATTATTTGAAAACAAATTTTAAGTGTCGAATATGAAGGAACAAGGATGGATATTATTATAATGTAAACGTAAAAATGTAAAACAATGTAAATTAGTTTACATTAATAAAATAAAATGTTAAAATGTCATTATAATAATATCTATCCTCGTCCCTTTATCTTCGATACTATTAAGATTTGTTTTCAAATATTTCTGTATATATTTACATGTTTAGTACTGTGTCAAGCATTGTAAGAGATAGTTGGTGTTTTTTGTATTTTCAAAAATTGAATGTAATTTAAATAAAATATTAAAGAATGTGTAGTATATAATAGTAACTGTTTTTAAAATTGCACTGAAGATGAGGCATACCATGATCTCGAAATGTCTGTAACTATTAAAGTGTATGCTAAAAATCTGAGTATTGTATTATTGTTCCACTCATATCACAAAATTCTATATTATATACACTCTTTATTAAGTAAAATTTAAATTTTTCGCCAATTTGTTTATACTAAATTCAAATACTGTTTTTTTTTTAAACACTTACGTATAAACAATTAAACCAATTGAATATAGTTAGTAAAATACTTACGTATAAACAATTAAACCAATTCAATATAATTAGTAAAATACTCAGGAATTTGATAAAGTATTAATAATAAGATTAAATAAAATTAACATTTTTATAAAAAAAGAAAACATATTGGTTCACGATAGTTTTGTATGAACTAATTTATGTTTAACGTAAACATATAAAGTAATGTTTAAAAATACATATTTTTATTTTATCTACTTTGTTACATCAATTAAAATACATTATAAATAACTGTTATAAATTTATATTTCTTTTACCCAAATTCAAATTTGCCTCCATTCCTCTTTTACACCCAACTTCACTCCGTTCATGAATTCGTCACCGACCTGTCAAAAGTATTGTGACAGGATGTGAAAATGGCGTCTCTTGTAATTATTTCATTTAATTATCCTCTTTTTAATTCTGTGATATTTTAAAAAAAGACAATTTTAATACATGTGTTGATACAGTGACAATTTCCCAAAATGGTTGTGTGGAAAACCGTTAAGGAGAAAGATCGCTTCGGAATAGGTTTGTTGGGATAAATATAACCTAAGATATCGACGGGGGGCAATATTTATTTGTTTTGTATCAAAATTTGGTTGAAGGTTTTGGTTTTGGGTAAAGGACGATGTTGTTTGGGGTTTTGGGTGCTGTTGGTTTGGATTTTTGGGCATTTGTTATGTTTGGAATTATTGGTATGACAAATGTTTTTATAGCCACTCCCTGCTGGTATAAATTATCATTTGGAGGAATGATAACAATGCTTTGTATTGACCTAGAATTTTTATCATATTATAATAAAAACAATAAAATATTGTTTAATTAGTGTATTTTTATACTGTTCACTTTTATCTCGTTTTATTCAAACACTTTGAGATAATTTATATACTAATTACAAACAATGTGAAGATGTAACAAGTAGGGGGCCTCATAAAAATTATATATTTATATAGATAAAATATAAATATTTACTATATTGTTAATAACATAATTGCACAGAAAAGTTTCATTAATCTTTCCCTAAATATAAATAAAAATAATGGGGTGCTTTCGAATTAAAACGGACTGATTAGATTTTTTTTAAGCACTCACCCAAGGAGGCCATTGTAATGTGAATAAATATATATATATATATATATATATATATATTTAGTCCATTTTCTAAAACACTGCAATTTTTGCACATTTAGTTCCCTAACTCCGAAACGGCTGGACCTGTCTTTGCCAAAAACTAATAAGTTCAAATCGGATGTTCCGTACTCTCAAAAACTCTATTTCTATTTTCTGCACTCTTTGCCAAAAACTAATCACCACTTCTCCCCATCATTACGAATTGAATGTTTTTTGAATCATTCAAATCGGATGGTCCGTACTCTCGAAAATTCGATTTCTATTTTCTGCACTCATTGCTCCATATTCATTATATTTTCTCCCCATCATTACGAATTGAATGTTTTTTGAATCATTCAAATCGGATGCTCCGTACTCTCAAAAACTCGATTTCTATTTTCTGCACTCTTTGCCAAAAACTAATCACCACTTCTCCCCATCATTACGAATTGAATGTTTTTTGAATCATTCAAATCGGATGCTCCGTACTCTCAAAAACTCGATTTCTATTTTCTGCACTCTTTGCCAAAAACTAATCACCACTTCTCTCCATCATTGCGAATTGAATGTTTTTTGAATCATTCAAATCGGATGCTCCGTATTCTCAAAAACTCGATTTCTATTTTCTGCACTCTTTGCCAAAAACTAATCACCACTTCTCTCCATCATTGCGAATTGAATGTTTTTTGAATCATTCAAATCGGATGCTCTGTTGTCTCAAAAACTCGATTTCTATTTTCCGCACTCTTTGCCAAAAACTAATCACCACTTCTCCCCATCATTACGACTTGAATGTTTTTTGAATCATTCAAATTGGATGCTCCGTACTTTCAAAAACTCGATTTCTATTTTCTGCACTCTTTGCCAAAAACTTTTCCCCATCATTACGAATTGGATATTTTTTGAATCATTCAAATCGGATGCTTCGTACTTTCAAAAACTCGATTTCTATTTGCTGCACTCTTTGCCAAAAACTAATCTCCACTTCTCCCCATAATTACGAATTGAATGTTTTTTGAATCATTCAAATCGGATGCTCCGTACTGTCGAAAACTCGTATTCTATTTTCTGCACTCTTTGCTCCGTCTTTCCGAAACGACTGGACCGACTTTTGCCGAAAATTAATCAGCGCGATTCCTTATCAATAGAAATCAAATGTTTTTTGAATCATTCAAATCGGTTGAACCGTGCGCCGGAAATCGTAGACGAAATATTGTATACATAGAATAATCATACTGCACACACACACATACATACATTTTTTCTAAGGTATGCCAAAATGTTCAGAAACCTCAGAAGCGTAAAGATTTGCAAACATTATTATTTTTTAAATTTTTATCCGGAAAGTTAATTAAATATTGTTTATTTATATGTTTATTTGTATTTGAAATAAAAAACAACAAACAATTACCCTTTTATTATGCACGTTTCGACACTGTGTGTGTGTCATCTTATATATGAAATTCTTCTGTAATGATGTATGTAAATATCCGTATGTAAGTATCCTTCTAAACGATTATTCGAATTTTGATAAATCTTTCTGAAGTTTGTTAAGGGAAATTTTTAGGATGTATGTGATCATAAAAATATAGTAATATTGTAGAAATAAATGGAAAAAATTGAAAAAACGACATGTTATTGTTTGACAATGAAAATATTTGAGACATTGTTTGGCATTGAAAACAAATGAAAACTGTCATCTGCCAAAAAATTCAATTTACTTATGAGCATAGACGATATTTATGTATAATAAATTCATTATTATGAATAAGAGAAATGAAATGTCTACATTATTATTGCCAAAAAGCAGCTGAGATATGCCGGGAATTAAAATAATTTAAGATACAGTATATGTATGGCAGATTGAATGATACACATATGAACATACATATATGAAATTTTAACCTTTATTTTGGGTCAATACACGGGTCATCAGAATTCATTTTAGAGGTATGGTTTCTTCAGCAAAGTATCATATTTTGATCTCTTGTATCCGAAAATCATATGTGCTTAAACGACGTTTTTGGCCCATACAAATCGACATATATATGTATATATATATATATATATATATATATATTATATATATATATATTCTATATATATATATATATATATATATATATATATATATATATAAATAAGTCGGGTTTTCTTTCCTGATCAAATTTTTCCTTTTCAAATATAAAACAAACAAAAAATTTCTTCATCTTTCTCACGAAACCATCTGGTGGCGAAACGGAGTTCGTCGGGTTTGCTAGTATATATATAAATATGTATGTATGTATGTTTGTATGTATAACTTAGGTGTCAATATAACATAATGTAGCGGGGCTCCAATTTGCAATAAAAAACAAACAAAAGGGGGCTCCTTTAATTAAGTAATTGATCAATTGACCCCAAACATATGACCTCATTAAAACAAGGCGCAGTGCACACAAAAAACTGTATATACAAATATATATATATATATATATATATATATATATATCATACATACATAACATACATACATATCTCTCTGTCTTTGAACTATTTTGAATTTACAAACGTTTCGACTATGATTCTTATCATCATTAGTGCAGATATAAAAAATAAGTTTTTATTTAGGCATTCATGCATTTAAAAACTTTCTGAAGCTTTCTTAACATTTTGGCATACCTCAGAAAAAATAGATGTGTGTGTATGTATGTATGGATACATTTTTTCGACCACACTGACCAACCGATTTGAATGATTCATTTATTCAATTATAAAATTATTATCTTTTTAATGTTAATTATGAATAAGCTTGACAAGAGCCTGAAATAATATCTTTTATTATTGATTAAGGCTTGCTTATGAATAAATAAATAAATAAATAAATAAATAAATAAAACATTAGATTCCTGTTGATAGGGGGATGTGCTGATTAGTTTTTGGCAAAGGCAGGTCCTGCCGTCTAGCTAAGAGTGCAGAAAATCGAATTGAATTATCCAAAAACATTCGATTAGTATAAGGTGGGGAGAGGTGGTGGTTAGTTTTTGGCAAAGGCAGGTCCAACTGCTTCGAATATACCGAGCTAAATGTGCAGGTTTTGAGAGAACCATCCGATTCGAATGATTCAAAAAACTTTCTGCTTGTGTTGACGAAACGATTGCTTTTGGGAAAAGATTTTTTTTTATTATATTTTTTTTTTTAATTTCCAAAATAAGATCTAAATATTTTTAATCGATCTGCTGTACTATTTATTGTACAATTGCGCAACTTATTTATGATGCATTTATTTATAATTTTTTACTCTTGTAACTTTTATTAATTTATTATTTATTAATATAAATGATATATTTGGAACGTTTGTATAAAATTAAATAATCCACAATTTTGAGGACTCTACAGCAACTTGATATACTTTAACCCTTCCCACTCGGATGCCGCCGCTCCGGCGGCAAAATACATATATCTCGTAATTCGCGAGTGGAAAGGCTTAAAATTGATCTTGATCATAGAAAATTAATACTATAGCGATAAAAGTAGACCCTATAGCAACTCGATATACTTTAACCCTTTCCACTCGGATGCTACCGCTGCGGCGGCAAAATACATATAAATCTCGTAATTCGCGAGTGGAAAGGGTTAAAATTGATCTTGATCATAGAGAATTAATACTATAGCGACAAAAGCACAATTATTCAGTATATTTTTTATAAATCTCAAACCATTCGATTAGTATGAATAAAATATTAGACGAACTTTTTTTAAATTAAATTATGTAACAACTCGGTGTACTCCTAAATTGTAATTGTATCTTAAAAAGTAATACTACAACGATCGATTAGTATTAATGATGCATTTGGCGAAATTGTTTAAAATAAAATATTCTTCAACAATACAAGAGCAACTCGTTATACTATATTTGGAAAATTTGTTCAAAATTAAACAATTAACAAAATTTTTCCTTACCATAAAACCCTGGGACATCTTGGAATACCTAAAAATATTTTATATATATATATATATATATATATATATTGATAATAATTATCAAATGTATATAATTTGATTGTACATATTGTTCTTATATCTATTTCACGGAAATAATTTTTTTCTATTTCTATTACAGCAATATACAATTTAAATCCAGACGTGGTCCACTGTGGAATCCAATTAATCGTAGGAGAAACCGTAGAGCTTCTGCTGGAGTCAACAGATTGGTATTATGGCTTCAGTCGAAAGAGAAAAGACAGACATGGCATCTTCCCGAAGAGCTATGTACATGTTGCTGAGTTTGCTGTCGAGAAAGCAGGAGGCAAGGGAATAGATATAGTTGTATAAATATATATATATATATCCTCAAGATATATATATATATATATATATATATATATATATACTTGGTGTCCCAGTTTTGATCTAAACTGTCCTGAAAAAAGAAGAGTGTGCGTAAGGTTCACAGGGGATTGAAGTAAAACTTATTTGCTATTAAAATAAATACATCATATAACAATTTTGAATAATGTTTATTATCAAGATGATAACACTCGTGATGCACACATTTATTAGTGTCAACCATTATACATATTTATATAATATATAATGATAAATTATAAATTATATATTTATAATAGCATTAAAAATATGAATGATATTTAAAAACAATAATGTAATTAAAGTCATACTTCAAATATGACATGATCGGTTTGTCATTGTAATTGCATTTAGAAATGAACCTTCATTAGAGAAATGAAGTGATTGCTGATTAATAAATTCTATAATATTTGTTCACATAGTGGATTATGTTAAACAACGCCTAAACAAATATTGTTTTCTAATGTAATTGTGTTTGAAGAACTTCATGTAATTAAAATTTACATACATTCATTGACTGCTTGTATTTTTTTTTACTTTCTCGCTGGCGATATAATCTCATTCTTTGAACAGTTGTAATATCTGTCTTGCTAAAAAAATATTTTATTTAATAACTTCAAAGATTTATAGAAACTACGAGTATTACAGAAATAACTTCTAATCAATAAACTTACGTTTAGTACACGGCACAAATGTTTAATTTGTTTTATTATTTTCAAGGAACAGAGTAAAATATTCGTCTGATTCAGGCATTTTTCATTAAATCAAGATTTGTACTACGATGTAACGTTAAAATGTTTATTTATATATGCCGATTTCCTTTACGCATACAAAGACAGATCTCTATACACATACACGACGACTAATCACAATCGACCCGTATTGAAATAATTTCATCGAGAGCGAATGATATACAGTTCGGGCGTAACGCTATTTCCGTTGCATTTCTCGCCTAAAGAAGTTTTACTTCAAAAAGGGCAAAAAAGATTGAAAAATGGCAAAAAACAATGCTTTTAAAACATAAATATTTAAAATTAGAAATATACAAACACCAATCTCTATTTAAAACTGGTTCAGTTAATTAAACTATTAAAAATCAGAATAAAACTTGTGAATACTTTTCAAAAAACTGATGAAAATATTAAAGTAATCACTAATAATTAATAATATTTATTTAATATTCTAAATTAATATTATTAATATTAAAAAAATGTTGATTTTGCCAATCTTATTCATTGTACTATTTTTTTGGTTTTGTACGTTTAAATTTGATTTAAAAACATTTTAGGCTTTATTATATTTTTATTTTTATCAATATTATGAAAAACTAGCTGTAAGTGGAATTCTGTCTTGAGGCAATTATGTCATGGTGCCTTAAGGCAAATTGCTGGAACTTCCCGTACCGTCACGAAATGTTCGAGAAATACTGAATGTTTTCAAATAGATTATTATAAATATTGTAACATTGTCTAATATCTATAAGAATTATATAAACTGAATTGCAAAGTTGAAATTATTTGTAAAGTATATTAGAACTATAGTCACAATTAAAAATAAAATCTGAATTATTTTTGATATATAAAAAATTAAAAAAAAAAAAAATGAAACAATTTTTTTTTCCAAAACCAATTATTTTGTTAAAACAAGCAGAAAGTTCTTTGAATCATTTAAATCGGATGCTTAGTTCTCTCAAAAACTGCCATTTTTTACATATTTAGCTCTATATCTTCGAAATGGCTGGGCCTGCCTTTGCGAAAAACTAATAAACACTTCTCCCAATCATTACTAATTGAATGTGTTTTAGATCATTCAAATCGGATACTCCGTTCTCTCAAAACGTCGATTTCTATTTTCTGCACTCTTTGCTCCGTATCTCCGAAACGGCTGGACCTGCCTTTGCCAAAAAATGTTTTTTGAACCATTTAAATCGGTTGATCCGTGCGCCCGAAAACATGACTGGAAATTTGTATCCATACATACATACACACACACACACATCCATTTTTCTCTGACGTATGCCAAAATATTCAGAAACCTTCAAAACGTCGAGAAATGTAAAAATTTTCAATTCCGATTTTCGGCCCATTATAATAACTTACCCTACGGGAAATTAAAAAATATAATAACATCACTGTAATATTGTATTTCAACATAAAAGATTTTTATTATTGTTTCTGATTATGTGTTTGAATTTTTCCACATTTTTCTTGGTATCAATGTTGGTTGGTCAAATCATATTAAATGTTCATTACATAATATAAATTATATTATTCAATTTATAAATAAATATTAATTATGATTAATGTAATATTTCTTTAAAGGTAATTATGACATGGTCACCTTAAAGCAACCAATAATTGTGCAGGAAATCACAGCTGTCTTACGAGAATGGGGCACATTGTGGAAAAATTTATATGTTGTAAGTATAATGATAAATTAGTTCATATTGTTGTAGTAATAGTAGTCATTATGTTGTAAACAAAACATAATTAATACTTCTGTAATAATCTCATGTTAATAATCAATTAAATCTTCATATGTTTATCTAAATATTTATTTATTTATTTATTTAACGCCCAAGGCAATAATACAGTATAATTACATTCTAAAGTGTACAAATTATAAACTAAAGATAATATGAGAAAATTTGAGTATTAAGAATTCATATATAGATTTGTATATATACATAACACTTAATATATATATATATATATATATATATATATATATATATAAACTACAAATATATAACATTAAATAAAAACTAATAAAATTATTAGTTATTATATTAAGGTCTATTTCTTTCCCCCAGACTCACAGTCCTCACTTCGAGCAAATCCAGAAACAAATCTACGACTTGATCCACTATCGGATAAAAATTCTCTCCGGGACTCTGCCAGTGGACGAAGTGAAAGAGATCAAACAATTGGTCACAGCAAAAATCGATACTGGAAATAAAATTTTAGGTTTGGACATGGTGGTCAGAGATGACCACGGAAATGTTTTAAATCCGGATCATACTTCTACAATTCAATTGTATCAGCAACATGTTATGGCCACTGAGAGGATAAAAAGAACCACGGTAAGGGATAAAAGAGATACCTATTATTAAATTATTTAATTTTTAAAACAAAGTATTAAAATGATCATGGCCACTGATTTTGTATATCATTCATAAATTTTTTGCCAACAAGTTAGATAAACTTATTAACTTCCCGAAGGAGAAGTTTATGTTTTCATAAAAAAATCCGATTCGCTAATTTTATGTTTTGTCGACGTTTCAAGCCATTCTGAATCGGATGAGACCAAATTTGGAAAAAGTATGTGTGTGTGTGTGTGTGTGAACAGATTTTTTGCTGTAAATCGACGGTTTCTCAAAAACGGCTGCACCGATTTTAAAAATGTAAAAGCCATTCGATGTATCTCGAAGAGGACTATCGTTTGCCAGTTTTGTGCGACGATCGGTCGAACCGTTTCTTTGTAAATTGCAGAAAAGTGAAAATTTTTTCGTCCACGTTTTAACCCGCAATTCTGAATCGATTTTAAAAATTCAAAAACCGTTCAAAGATATTGCTGATTAGTTTTTGGTAAAGATCGGTCGGGCAGTTTTCTTGTAATAAAGTGTTAAAAAAATTTTTTTCGACGATTTTTTATTACGGTAGACACCATAGTCTTATAGATCATACTAAAACATTACGGTTCTAAGACAAGTCGTTTAATTTTAAAAATTCTTCAAAGTTTGCAAAAATTATTATAGTTTTTTTGGCATTTGTCAGACCTTTCATCGACGTTTACCCAAAAACGCCTGAACCGATTTCAGAAATTTAAAAGCCATTTGATGTATCTCAATATCAGTTTTGTGCGACGACCTGCTAAGCCGTTTCTTTGTAATTTGTATAAAAGTGTTAAAATTTTCGTCCACATTTAAACTCATACTACTGAATCGATTTTAAAAAATCAAAAACTATTTGAAAGATATTAGTTGGGAATGATACTGATTAGTTTTAGGTAAAAATCTACTGAGCCATTTTCTTCTAATTAACTGTTAGGAAAAAAATTTAAGCCGATTTTTATGGAACTTTTTTGGCAATATATATCATGGTCTTATAGAACTTACTGAAATATTAATGCCTTAGGACAAGTAGTTTAATTTTAAAAATTCATTGAAGTTTGAGAAAATGAGTTGTTTTTTGATATTTGTTAAAATTAAAACTAGACGATTTACTTAGTATAATGATAGAGTACTTGGTCTTGATGAACATACTAAAATATTAGTCCTAGGGAAACTGGTTCAATTATAAAAATTGTTGATTTGTGAAAATTTGCTTTCAGAGGATACTCCTACCGGGTTAACGTGTTCGATTTTTAATAATGTGTAATAAATCCACTCGGAATACTTTTATACACTCATAAATTAATTTATTTTTTATTGTTTAAGTGGATTATTTACACATGTCAGGTAGTTTATGTAACTTGCCTCAAGGCAAAATACTAATACCAACTAGATAAGTTATTTATTTTTTAAAACAAAGTATTGAAATAACATGGACATTGATTTTGTATATTATCCATAAATCTTTGGCCAATAAGACATTAGATAAACTTTTTCAAAATTAAATAATATACATCATTTACATCCTAAAATAACTAATTTGTTTTTATTTCTTTTATCTAGTCAACAGAGCCAAGAAGACGTTCCAACAAGCACAGCTCGCACATATATTCCCACATATTTTTTGTGTCCGTGAGGAATTTTGTGTGCAAAATGCAAGAAGATTGTGAATTGTTGATGACTTTATATGATGCTAAAGAATGTAGAGCAGTTACAGAAAATTATGTCGTCAGGTGGTCCAAACAAGGATTGACCAGTGATATAGATCAGTTGCACAACTTAAAAGTTTTGTTTACGGTGAGTAATAGATGAATTAAACTTATATATAAAATTGTTCTGTACGGGTGTATGGTTTGATACTTTTCCTAAATGGTTATTCGGATTTTGATAATTCTTTTTAGAATTTGTCAAAGAAAATATTTAAGATTTAATGAACGATAAAACTCAAGTAATATTGTAGAAATATATGGCAAAAATTACAAAAAACTACTTATCATTGTTTGGCATTGAAAACATTTGAACATTTGTCATCTTCTAGAAGTATCAATTCACTTGAAATTTGAATTTAGCTGAATTTATGAGCCTAGATAACATTAGAGTATAATATACAAGAAAACTGCATTGTTTACATTATTATTGCAGTCTGCAATTATTGTAGATTGCCTGAAAGTGTTGTATATAATCCGATTGTGGATGTAAATTGCCTGAAAATGTTGTAAAATGTCTTGTAATCTTGTGGATATTATGTGGAAAAAGTTATGTATATTCTGGTAATGGATGTAGATTGTCTGAAAATATTAAACTATCAGAAATTTTTGTACATTGTTTAACAGTATGGTAGATTGTCTTGCAGTTTTATGAATTTTCTGAAAATGTTTGTGGGTTGTGTGTAAATATTGTTGATTGTGGTAGGTTGTCCCAAAATATTATTGTAGGGTGACAAATGGTCTGAAAATATTGTAAATTACTTTAAATATTGCAAATGGTCTGAAAATATTGTGAATTACCTAAAAGTATTGTAAATTGACTGAAAAAATTGTAAATTGTTTGAAAATGTTGTAGATTGTCTGATAATATTGTAGGTAGGCTGACAATGTTGTAGATGGTCTGAGAATATTGTAAATTATCTAAAAATGTTATAACTTCCGAAAATTTATATTGTCTAACAATATTGTAGATTATCTGAAAATGTTGTCGATTGTCTATAAATGTTGTTGATGGTCTGAAAATGGATGGTCAGAAAATATTGCAGATTGTCTAACAAAATTGTAAATTGTCTGAAAATATTGTTGGTTGCCTGAAAAGGTTGTGGATTGTCTGAAAATGTTGTATATTGTCTGTAAATATTGTTGATGGTCTGAAAATGAATGAAGATTCTCAAAAAGTATTGTAGATTGTCTAAGAAGATTGTCTTAGAAGATTGTCTGTTGGTTGTTTGAAAATGTTGTGGATTCTCTGAAAATGTTGTATATTGTCTGTAAATGTTGTTGATGGTCTGAAAATAGATGTAGATTCTCGGAAAATATTGTGGATTGTCTAAGAAAATTGTAAATTGCCTGTAAGTGTTGTTGGTTGTCTGAAAAAATTGTAAATTGTTTGAAAATGTTGTATATTGTTCTTAAATGTTGTTGATGGTCTGAAAATGGATGTGGATTCTCAGAAAATATTGTAGATTGTCTAAGCAAATTGTAAATTGCCTGAAAGTATTGTTGGTTGTCTGAAAATGTTGTACTTTGTCTGAAAATTTTGTGGATTGTCTGAAAATATTGTAGATTGTATGAAAATCTTGTAAATTGTATGAGAAAGTTGCGGATTTTGAAAATGTTGTATATTATCTGTAAATGTTGTTCGTGATCTGTAAATGGATGTAGATTTTCAGAAAATATTGTAGATTGTCTAAAAATATTGAAAATTGCCTGAAAGTATTGTTGGTTGTCTGAAAATGTTGCAAATGGTCTTAAAATATTGTAAATTACCTAAATGTATTATAAATTGACTGAAAAAATTGTAAATTGTTTGAAAATGTTGTAGATTGTCTAATAATATTGTAGGTAGGCTGACAATGTTGTAGATGGTCTGAGGATATTGTAAATTATCTAAATATGTTTCAATTTTGAAAGTGTTGTGTATTGTCTAACAATATTGTAGATTATCTGAAAATGTTGTTGATTGTCTTGAAATGTTATAGACATTCTGGAAAAGTTGTGCATGGTCTGATAATGGATGTAGATTATCTGAAAATATTGTAGATTGTTGGAAATTGTTGTACATTGACTACCAGTTGTCTGGTAGTTTTATGAATTGTCTGAAAATGTTTGTGGGTTGTGTGTAAATGTTGTTGATTGTAGAAGGTTGTCCCAAAATATTATTCTAGGTTGACTGAAAATGTTGCAAATGGCCTGAAAATATTGTAAATTACCTAAAAGTATTGTAAATTGACTGAAAAAATTGTAAATTGTTTGAAAATGTTATAGATTGTCTGATAATATTGTAGGTAGGCTGAAAATGCTGTAGATGGTCTGAGAATATTGTAAAATATCTAAAAATGTTGTAACTTCTGAAAATTTATATTGTTTAACAATATTGTGCATTTTCTGAAAATGTTGTCGATTGTCTATAAATGTTGTTGATGGTCTGAAAATGGATGGTCAGAAAATATTGCAGATTGTCTAACAAAATTGTAAATTTTATGAAAGTATTGTTGGTTGCCTGAAAAGGTTGTGGATTGTCTGAAAATGTTGTATATTGTCTGTAAATATTGTTGATGGTCTAAAAATGGATGTAGATTCTCAAAAAAATTGTAGATTGTCTAAGAAAATTGTAAATTGCCTGAAAGTATTATTGGTTGTCTGAAAATGTTGTACTTTGTCTGAAAATGTTGTATATTGTCTAAAAATGTTGTTGATGTTCTGAAAATGGATGTGTATACTCAGAAAATATTGTAAATTGTCTTAGAAAATTGTAAATTGCCTGAAAGTATTGTTGGTTGTCTGAAAATGGATACAGATTTTCAGAAAATATTATCTAAGAAAATAGTAAATTGCTTGAAAGTATTGTTGGTTGTCTGAAAATGTTGTGGATTATCTGAAAATATTGTATATTGCCTGTAAATGTTATTGATGGTCTGAAAATGAATGTAGATTCTCAGAAAATATTGTAGATTGTCTAAGAAAATTGCAAAGTGCCTGAAAGTACAGTTGGTTGTCTGAAAATGTTGTGGATTGTCTCAAAATGTTGTATATTGTCTGGAAATGTTGTACTTTGTCTGAAAATTAAGTTGATGGTCTGAAAATGGATGTAGATTCTTAGAAAATATTGTAGATTGTCTAAATAAATTGTAAATTGTCTGAAAGTATTGTTGGTTGTCTGAAAATGTTGTACTTTGTATGAAAGTATTGTTGGTTGTCTGAAAATGTTGTTGATGGTCCGAAAATGGATGTAGATTTTCAGAAAATATTGTAAATTGCCTGAAAGTATTGTTGGTTGACTGAAAATGTTGTGGATTGTCTGAAAATGTTGTATATTGTCTGTAAATGTGGTTGTTGATGGTCTGAAAATATTCAGAAAATATTGTAAATCGACTAAGAAAATTGTAAATTGCCTGAAAGTATTGTTGGTTGTCTGAAAATGTTGTGGATTGTCTGAAAATGGGTGTAGATTCTCAGAAAATATTGTATATTTATTTATTTATTTATTTATATTGTCTAAGAAAAGTGTAAATTGTCTGGTTGTCTGAAAATGTTGTATATTGTGTGTAAATGGATGTAGAGTCTCTGAAAATATTACAAATTGTCTAAAAAAAATTGTAAACTGTCTGAAAGTATTGTTGGTTGTCTGAAAATGTTATAGGTTGCTTGAATATATTCTAGTTGCCTAAAATAGTGGAAAAGTGTCTAAAAATGCTGCAGTTGTCTGAATTTTTGAAGATTGTCTGAAAAAAAGATGTAAATCATTTGGAACAAATTTTAATTCAGTTCTTGCAATAAATATTTAAATAATAGAACATAAACATTTGATTTTTTTTTATCAAATGAAGATGTTATAGATTTAAATTTCTGATGATAATTAATTCTGATAAGATGATTGGTGAATTGTTGATAAAGAAAGGAGAAGAAAGTTTGTCTTATATTCAATATGTTTATTAATGACTACCTCTTCCTAATTTAACTTGTGCATTACGAAGTTTCAGTTCTCTCCACATTCTATCAAATTTTTTATTTTAGGATTTGGGTTCAAGAGATTTAACCAGAGAGCGTGTTTATCTAGTTTGTTATGTTGTCCGAGTTGGTTCCATGGATAGCAAAGACACTTTAGATCACAGAAGGTCATCTGTCTTAAACAGTTCTGCATCTAAAAGTATTTCTTCAAATTCTCTTGGATCCAATGTCAGTGTTGGACCTGGTGCCAGGCAATTCGAGGGAATGCGTAGACCCTTTGGTAAGGAAAAAGGACAGATTAGAAATAACAATGGATATTTATAGAGCAACAACTTTGAATTATGAACACCTTAAACAATTCTTTTCCTAATTGGTGTATTATTTCTCCTAGGTGTTGCTGCAATGGACGTAACACCATTTTTATGGGAAAAAATGGATGGTGATGAAGATAAGCATCATTTTGTACCATTTATGCCGTAATTATACTTGATTATTTAAATTTAAACATAATTTATTAACAGTTGCTGATTATATAATAATATTTTCAGTTGTGAAAAGGATAATTTGGATAATACATTGAGGAAAATAATCAATAATAAGGATCAGGGTAAAAATGACAATAGAGGACAAGGACTTTGGGTCAGTGTCAAGTTGTTACACGGTGATATAAAACAGGTAAAAAAATAAGTATTTATTGAGTACCAATTCCATGGTACATTTTCTAATGTGTTGCTCAATAAGTTTGATTGAAAATAGGAGCATTTGAAAAATTTTGATTTCTATTTGTAATTTTTCTTTAAGGTAAAGGAAGAAAATCCAGCTCTGGTTTTAGGCAATGTATCAGTAGCCAGGAAAATGGGTTTTCCTGAAGTAATATTACCAGGAGACGTTAGGAACGATTTATATCTGACATTGCTGTCTGGTGAATTCTCTAAAGGTGCCAAATCGACTGATAAAAATGTTGAAGTGTCTGTTACTGTTTGTGATGAAGCAGGGAGAGCCATACCTGTAAATAGAATTATATTTGATTATTATATTTAATAGGATAGAAATTATATTGATATTAACATTTTTGGGGTAAAGTTTTTTGTTAATTTAAATTTGATTTGGGTTTTCAGGGTGTTATGACTTTAGGAGGTGGTGCTCCAACGTTAGATGAGTATAAATCTGTGATTTATTATCATGTTGATAAACCACATTGGTATGAAATTTTTAAGGTAAGATGAGATAACATAAATATATATAAAATGAAATATATTTATATGCATATATTGCAGATATTAATAGTATTGACTTGAATATATTGCAAAAATATAGTATACTGTTTTGTTATTATTTGTTTATTTTTTTTATTATATAATTTTTTTATTTCTTTACTTCTTTCTTTTTCCAGGTGGCTGTGCCAATAGATGAGTTCAAAGCCTCTCACCTTAAATTTACATTCAAGCATCGTAGTTCAAATGAAGCAAAAGATAAGTCAGAAAAACCATTTGCAATGTCATATGTTAAATTGATGCAAAGTGATGGGACCACACTCAGGGATCAAACACACGATTTACTAGTTTATAAGGTAATAAGAAATAACCAGCCAGGATTATATATATATTTTTTGGAATAAATTTAGAGACCTGATAGAATTTTTTGTTATTAAAGAGAGTTTAAAAGGTTCTTACCTCATTTACATTAACCGAAAGTTTAAAATTCAATGTAAAACATAAAATATTTAATTTTGTACAAATTTTTAATAAATATTATTACTTGTGAATGAAATTCATAAATTTTTGAAAGTTATTACAACTATTATAACTATTGAATGAAATTTTTAAAACTTTTTGAAATTTATTACAACTATTATAATAAGTGAATGAAGTTTTCATAAAATTTTTATCTTCCCGTAGGGCAAGTTATAGTAAGCGCAAAAAAATCGAATATGAAAATTTTTATAGATCTTTACGTTTCAAAACCTTCTGAACATTTTGGCATACCTTAGAAAAAATGAATGTATGTGTGTGTGTGTGTGCGTGTATGTATGTATGTTCGGATACAAATTTTCGTCGACGATTTCGGGAACACGGATCAACCGATTTGAATAATTCAAAAAACATTCGATTCGTATTGATAAGGAGACCTGCTGATTATTTTTAGCGAAGACAGGTCCAGCTTCCGAAGATACGGGGCAAAAAGTGCCGAAAACGGTAACTCAGTTTTTAGAAGAACGGAGCGTCCGATTTGAATAATTCAAAAAACATTTCATTTGTATTGACTAAATGAAGAACTGTTCAAATTTTTAGAAAGGCAGATCCAACGACTTTGGAGATATGAAGGAAAAAGTAAAAAAATTAACCATTTGGCGGTCAAAAATGAACATTAGACATATGCACCTCAAATTGTCACATATTTTATAGAGATTTTAACAATAAGTATAAATTTTGTTTACATTCCTATGGGTTCCGTACCAATGTTAACGCGTTAGACGGCGACGGGGCGCTTACACGCTTCGATATTTCGTCTTTATGCAGTTAAAGCAGTACGATTGCTTTGAAAAAAAGTTCAGAATTTCCAAAATATTTCAAAATAAATGATTTAAGATAGAGTGATTTAATATGGTTCGAAATTCTATTAAAAGTTTCAAATCATTGATCAACTTTTATTGATTATTATTATTGATTATTTTTAATTACTAGAATTTTGAATTGTGGTACGGGAAGTTCCAGCAATTTGCCTTAAGGCACGATGCCCTAATTGCCTTAAGACAGAATTCCACTTACAGCTAGTTTCAACTATTTTAACTAGTTAATTAATATTTATCATTTTTTTAAATTTATCACAACTATTATAACTTGTAAATGGATTTTTATGCATTTCTGATAATACATCTCATTTTTTTTATTTTAGATTGACCACAAAAAGTATTCAGACAGCGACTTAGGCTACTTAGGGCTTCCATCTCATAAATCATGCGAATCTTTAAAAGAAAACCACAAACCAAGCTGTCCAGGTTTATCATTAAGCTCAAAAGATTCTTTTCGAATTGCTACGAATGTGTGCAGCACCAAACTAACACAGAATGGTAGTAAAAATAACTAAATGATATATAATATATTAAATTTGATATATTATATATTTGAAAATTATATGATTTAATAATGTAATTTTCGTTGCAGTTGATTTGTTGGGTTTATTAAATTGGGCGAACCACAAGGATACGCTCAAGGACTCCTTGTTAGCTCTTATGAAAGTTGATGGTGATGATATAGTTAAATTTTTACAAGATGTACTTGATGCCTTGTTTAATATTTTGGTAAGTTAATATATGATAATATTTTTAAAGATTTTTTTTTTCATCTATTGTACTCATCTGTAATAAAATATTATTGAGTCTTATAATTATTTTTATGCGCCAAGGTTTATAAATTCAATTATAAATGAATGAATAATATTTTTTTTTAATTTTTTATTACCATTTATAATTACTATATGTGTGTTTTCTTTCACAGGTTCAAAATGATGACAGTCAAGTATACGATAACATGGTATTCGAATGCCTACTAAAAATTCTAAGTTTAGTCAGTGATAGAAAGTATCAACATTTCCAACCCGTCCTAGATTTATATATACAAGAAAGCTTTTCAGCCACTTTAGCTTATCGGTGAGAATACTTATTTCAATATTTATTTAATTACATTTTTACAATTGTTATTTATGTTTTAGAAAATTACTGACAGTATTAAAGTATCACATAGACAATGCTAACTCTGCAGAAAGCCAAGATTTATTGTTGAAAATTATGAAGTCTTTGCAGTATCTTGTTAAGTTTATTGTTAGGTCTCGCTTGCTGTTTGCTGAGCTGTATGATAATAAAAATGAGAGTGAATTTAATGATGACTTTCAGAGTAAGTAATAGGAAATGAAATAAATATATATGTATATATATATATATATATATATATATATATATATATATACTGTAATTTAAATTACGTAGGAGAAACAAACGTTTACAACAACACAAAAATAATTCAGACAATTCAAAACTATGCTTGTGGACCATATGTGAATACTTTAAAACACAATAGACTTTTTTAACTTGTATGTACTACAATTTGAACAAAATTTATTTAAATGAAGATTTATAGAAGGATCTTTTTTGACTATTTATAACAATAGAACAATAAATAAACGAAATGAACTCAACGCGCTGTGCGACTCAAATCTCTTTTATTTAGATAGTATTTCCTGATTTCTCACAAAACAATAAAATTGTCGCGCAAAGGATTCGCAATTCGTTCCCCACATGTGTAGAATCTTGGTAAAAATATTTAAAAAAAAATCTTTTCTCCATTATGGCTTCAACCAGTTTATGGACAACACATATATTACACACTATCTATTTGTGATTTTTTAATGTTAGTATTTTGTGAAATATTGTTTAAGTACAAGTTTAATGTTTATATTATATTGTGTAGTGCATTATCATATCCTGATACCATGGATTATTAGAATTTTCTATTTTAACAATAAGATTTACTAATTGTAAGTACATCTTACTCTCTATAATTTTTTTTCTCCATTCAATTGTTTTAGTTTTTAATTTTATTTTTAGTTTCCACTGAATGAAGGCTAGGACTATAGCTGATACGTATGGATGTAAAATAAATTTTTGAAAGAAATTCATGTTTTTTATTGATGTTATGCCCGATTACTAGACTTTGTTAATACATACTATTTTAATTTTCTACTTTTCCACTTTGGCCCATGATTATGAATAATAATAATTTAAAATATTAATTTCAATTATTTTTTATCTAGATCTTTTCTGGAGCATAACAGACATGATGTGTTACACAACTGGAGTAACTCTATTGCCGCAAGGGGCATTTTTAAAATACTTACCGACTACAATTGATGATATCTTGCAAGTCTATAACGGAAAACAATTAAGGTAAAAATAAATATATATATATATATATATATATATATATTGTAGAGCTTTGAACAAAGAATCCAAAAAGTAATAAAAAACAAAAAAGTTTTTTGAAAAACTATTTCTTTATTTATTTACTGTCGACGTTTTGGAACTAGGTACGTTCCATCTTTAGGACATCTGTCAAGAAACATGATCTTGATAAGATTTAAGCAAACAATATGTTTAAGAAAAGCAGAAGATGGTGCTTTTTTCATATAAAATAAATAAAATTGTGGAAAAAATAGTGTACAGAAATATGACAATATAATCAAAATAAAATGATAAAAATAAATAAGTGGATTATATAACAAAATATTAAAAATGTTAAAAAATTAGAAAGTTTTAGAAAGTTTTAAGAAAAGGCTACTGGAAAAACAAATTTAATTACCTGTATGATTGATTATACACTAACACTTTTTCACTAAAAAAGAGTTTATTAAAAACGTGATTTTATAAATTTCTTTTGCTTTATACAATTATAGAAAAATAGCATCAACAAAAGAAATGATACTTCTTCACTTTGTGAGATTTAAGTGATTTTTATTGCTAATTCTGAAGAAACGCCTCAACCGATAGTATAAATAAAAAATAACCATCGCGGTTTGATAAACGAGTTTCTTAGAAAAGCTTTTAAATTTTTGAAATCGGTCCATCCGTTCTTTGAGAAAACGTTTACGGTTCACATATTTACATAGGTACGCACACCCTTTTCCAAATTTGGTCTCATTCAATTCAGATTGACTTGAAATGTCGAGAAAACAAAGTTAGCCAACCGGATTTTTTCGCAAAAACATAAATTTCTTCTTCGGGAAGTTAAAAATGGGATTTACAATCCATTTATACTTTATTTTAGATCTTTCGTCATTTTCTCTCGTTTGCAATTTTTTCTTCAAATTTTAGGTCATATGGTGAATTGAAAAATTTTATATTCTTACTTTCATAAATTATTGATTTTACATTTTACTTTTGTTTATAAGTTTTGCGTTTTTGTATAATAACTTTACTATTCATTTTTAATGATATTATATTTATCATCATTAATTTTTCTTTTTCAGTATTCTTATAACAGAACTAATCCAAAAAGTGCCAGCAAACAGACTAGCAAAACAAAAAATCATGACTGTGAATTCTATAGTTTTAAGTTCTTTGTTTCGACAACCTGAATGCAGGCAGGTTTTACTTCCGATGATCTGTAGGCAGGTTAAAGATCTTTTAGAAACCAAAGAGGAGGTAAGTGAAAATTTTAATAGAACAGAAAACAGTATTTCAAGTACATATTTATTTATTTATTTTATGAAACAAAGGTTATCGTGTTTATAATTTTATAATGATTGAAATTAAAAGTCAACCAGAGAAAATGTGTACTATTTAAGGAGACAATTCAAACAGAAACTATTATTATTATTATAAGCTCTTGGTATAAATCAATCCTTCATTTATATTATTTAGTAAAATCGATAAGTTAATATGAAATTGATAAATAAATAAGTTTGGATTAATTTAAGTATTTGAAAAGTTTTATTTTTCAATAATAGGATTATAAATGGGATAACCTTCTGTTTCATAAAGTTGTACATATCATTCTGTATAATTTCATAAGTAATTATATCGCAGTGTACAAAGCTTAAATCATGTCACATTTGTAAAAAAAAATCATTGTCTGCAAAATTTGTAAATATGAAAAAAAGAAGTAGTGTTAAAAGTTATATAAACTATTTTTCTAGTAAAGTAGTTCATTATTTTTTTCAATTTTTATAAATTATTTTGCTTTGAGTACAATTTTATTTTAAATATTACAGTTTGAATGATTTATTTTATATACATATATAAATTAGTTATTTATATAATTTTAATTTACAGATTTATTTTTGACTATGGGCTAAATCGACCGTCTAGTTAATAAATTCTTAAATCATTAAAAAAGATTGGTTTTTGTGTTAAGTAGTACTATATCCGTTATCACGTTTTTTCAAATAAAATACTTTTTGAAGTAAAACTTCTTTAGGCGCGACTAGGGATAAAGCCCGAACAGTTTGTCATTCGCTCTCGATGAAATCATTTCTATACTGTTTCAATTCTTTAGGCGTTGTTTAACATAATCCAGTGTTAACGAATATTATAGAATTTATTAATCAGCAATTACTTTATTTCTCTAATGAAGGTTCATTTCTAAATGCTAATTACAATGACAAACCGATCATGTTATATTTGAAGTATAACTTTAATTAAATTCAAATTTGTTATATGATGTATTTTTAACATATTTCGTACGATAGCAAAAAAGTTTTACTTCAATCGCATGTGAACCTTACGCGCACACTTTATTATCCTTTTTTTGTCGATTTATCCCATAGTTGTTATTACATTGAGTGTCTGTGTTGCGTGAGTGACAATAATGATTTTTTTAAAATAATTTATTTACAATGATTTGGTTTTGGATTTACAATATGTTTTGTTAATATATTTGTTGTGTAAATCGGTTAAGGGACTCCGATACAAAAAAATTCACTACTTTGTCTTAATATGTTAACGACACTGAATTTTTTGACTAAAAATTAATTGGAAACATGCATGGATTGATGTAATTGAATACTATAATATAATTATATATATTTAGGGGTCAAAATTAGGTTCTTGGATAAAAATTTATTATGATTTATCTTGAATACAAAATTTCTATCAATCCATGTATGTATATAAATGCTTTTTGTGTGCAATTGTTGTTAATTGTTACATGTCCTTTGGTAAGGGGATCAAAATGATAATATTTTTAATATAGATAATGAATTTTGAGTCCAAAAAAATACATTTTTTAAATAATATAAATAAAATGAAATCAAAAAAAGCCATTTATGCATAGATAAAAGAAAATTATATGCATTTATGATCTTCGTTTTTTTGTCAAATGTTTGTTTTGTTGGCTGCATTGACATTTTAAGTGTTTGTGATTAACTTCACTTTGATCGGTTTTGGCGGATTTAATTGATATTTTCAATTAAACAAATCAGTTAAACAAAAACAGAAAAACAATTAATATTAATTATAATAACATTTCTGTAAGTAGAAAAGGAATTAAAATAGCAAAAATATATACGTTAGGGGCAACAATTGTTACAAATTTCTAAAATTAAATATTATTAAATTTATTAAAACTTGTGTATATATAAAAAACAAATTAAGTATGAATGGCTCTTTTAGATTTTGTATATTATCATCATCGATAGTGTCTTCGACAAGATTTTGAGTATGAAAATGGATTCACAAAATAATTATTATTCGTTTAATTGAAATTTACAATCTATTGTAAACATTTCTTATTATTAATTTTATTAAAATTTCAAATTTATTATATATAAACAGACTTGATACACTTGCCTCAGTCGTTGAAAATTTGATAAGACTGTTTGCAATCGATAGAACTGTTTGTAAATACAATGTATATAGCAATATATATATATATATATATATATATATATATATATATATATGTCGAGTTATGTTGATTAGAATTTCATTTTATTTATAATTATGTAAATACTTCTCTCCTTCACGAAGCACAGCTCTTTTGATTTTCCTATTCGACAGCTGCAAATGAAAACACAGAAAATTTCAATAAATATCCATTCACAATCACTACCATGATCACATCACACCACTTTAAACTTTAAAACACTCATTTTTTTACCATAACTTAAAATTTGTTATAAAAATGACATCTATGATTCCTGAGGAATTGAAATTAGTTTTTTTTGAAATATGTATATTGATACAATACTTGTTTTTATTTTATTAATTTTAATTAATATCCCCTATAACCACCACGATTCACTTCACACTTTAAAACACCCTTTTCTTTATCTATGACCTAAAATTTGTTGTAAAAATGACATCTATGATTCCCGATTGAAAACAGATGTCTTTATTGATTTTGAATATGTATTGCGATACAATATTTGCTTTTTTTAATTAATTACTTAAAATAGTCATCAATAGAGTCTCATTCATTGTCGTTCATTTACATTCATTGCCTTTTTTTAACTTTAATTTGCGTTGTAGTAATTTAATGAAGTCTCTTTAAGTATTTTTCTACACAAATCATATTTTATTCATTCACATTCATTCCTGTTCATCGTGATTCATAAGCGTGTTTTACGTCGTGTAGCATGATGAAATTTATTTTCATTTATTTATTTGATGTTAGTTTTTTTTATTGAATAGTTTGCTATAAAAATTTGTGAATGCGCTCATTCATCAAAATTATAAGTAGTTTCTTTTTTATTCATTCTTGTTTCTTTAATAATCATTTTTGCTTGAATAATAATTTTTGATTGAATAGTCAAAATGACAGAAATAAAATTGTAAAAAAATATCTGAAAGCATTAAATTGTATTAAAAATGTTTTGTGAATGAATTAGAGTGAATGATATTTAATTATAGTTAATAGACACGAAAGAAATGAGAACTTTGTTATGAAAAGTTAGTTAGTTGAAATGAATGAATATCATGAATTAAAAATGAATGTTTGAATAAGAATAAATGAATTGGAGTAAATAAAAATGAACAATTATGAATGAATATACACAAAGGTTGGCATGAAAATATGGAGAATTGAATAAAAATTAACATTGACAAATGAATATGAAGGGGTGAATAAAAATGCATTGAATGTGAATAATACAAAATATAAATTTGAATCAGAATGAATATGGGTTTATAAAACTTAACTTTGATAATGAACCTGGGTGAATGACTAAAGAAAGGTTTTATATAAAAAATGAATAAGAATGATCACAAATCGGAGGTTTGAATAAAAATGATTATGAGTGAGTAAAAATGAACAGTGATTTGGAATGAAGATGAATGAATAAACATGAAAGGTTTTGAATTTGTCAAATGAATATGAATGTGTGAATAAAAATGAATTGAATGTGAATACTACAAAATATAAATTTGAATGAAAATGAATGTAGGTATGAATGAAAATGAATATGGGTGCATATAACTTAACTTTGATAATTGAAAATGAATCTGAGTGAATAACTAATGAAGTGTTTTGTATAAAAAAATGAATAAGAATGATCACAAATCAGAGGTTTGAATAAAAATGATTATGAATGAACAGTGATTCGAAATGAAGATGAATGAATAAACATGAAAGGTTTTGAATGAAAATTAATTGTTGACAAATGAATATGAATGTGTGAATAAAAATGAATTAAATGTGAATAATCCAAAATATAAATTTTAATGAAAATGAATGTAGGTCAGAATGAAAATGAATATGGGTGAGCATAACTTAACTTTGATAATTGAAAATGAACCTGGGTGAATGACTAATAAAAGGTTTTGTATAAAAAATGAGTAAGATTGATCACAATAAATGAGGTTACAATAAAAATGATTATGAGTGAGTAAAAATGAATAGTGATCCGAAATGGAGATGAATGAATGAACATGAAAGGTTTTGAGTGAAAATTAATTATTGACAAATGAATATGAATGTGTGAATAAAAATGAATTGAATGCGAATAATACAAAATATAAATTTGAATTAAAATGAATGTAGGTATGAATGAATATGGGTGAACATGAGAGCGAATAGAAATGAACATTGATGATTGGAATATGTACATGATTGAATAAATATCATTATACAATAATGATTTTGAATATAGATGAATAAAATTGTAAAATGAGCATGTGTAAATAAAAATCTATGGTTTTGATCAAAAACTAAAGCTAGGAATGAATATGAATATAAGTGCAGATAAATCAATAACAATGGATGAAAACTAATCGATACATTTAGGAAAGCTACAAAACAAACCTTTTTAACCACTTTTCTTTAATTGCATTTTGATTAAAATTAATCTGCATTCCGCCCGCATTTACTATCTTATTTTTTTAATTGCAATGCCTTGTTAAAAATAATATTTTTAACAACTAATTGTTGAATGTTTTTGAATAATATCGAATTAATTATTTATATTTATTGTGTGATGTCCATTAATGCTTTGTGTTTGCCAAATTTAATTATATTTTTGTAAAAAAACAAATCGAAGCATGCTTTTGTGATGTCTCACCACCATTTTTTGCTAATTTATTAAATCTTATTTGTTTGTTTATTAATTTAATCATAATTTGTATTGTTTAATAATTTTAATATGTTTTATAATAATTTCAGACGTCGTTTAATCTCATTTTGACAGATTTTTGGACGGATTCAGTTTTTTATCATTTAAAAAAATATTAAAGATATCGTTTAAATGATAAATAAATGAAGTTTGTAAAAGTAAAATTGTAAAATTATTAATTTGGAATCAATATGAGATTTTTATTTGTTTCTTAACCATAAAAACAGCGGTATGAAGTTGTCATTTATATATAAAGACTAGCAAACCCGACGAACTCCGTTTCGCCACCAGTTGGTTTCATGAGAAAGATGAAGAAATTTTGTGTTCGTTTTATATTTGAAAAGCAAAAAATTGATTTTATTATACAACAGTGATGAATTTATTTCGATTACAAAAATGAAGTGGTTTTTAGTTGAACTTCTCTAAGTAAATGAAAGTGAATCCGCAAATTATCTGTTTCATTAAAGTGCTCTTTGGTAAACCACATTTTTTGTTTTTTGGTCTGACGTTAACACAAACAAAGCGGATGGTTTTCCAACTCGTGAACAGGCAACGTATAACTGCCCATGTGAAAAACAATGATTTTATAAATAATCTATTTGAAATTTATCCCGCAAACACTAAGCTTTTGGCTTTGCTACTTGTTAATTGTCATTGCGAACGCAAGGCGAACTGGAAATTGCAATCGTTTGAAGTCAAATGGAAGACCAGTCAGAATCATTGGTATGTCACCAAATCGCCAGCAATTTTTGATTGAATGGTGAAATTCAGTGCGTGTATATCATATTTCTTGGCGGCAAGAATTGCTCGTTGACTTAACCAAGCATAATTCTGATAATTCTCACTAATGTCATTACTCGAACTTTTAATTACGTTGCGTGAAATTCCAGCAATTTGCATTAGGGCACGATGCCATGCACCATTAATTGAATGCAAAATTGTCGAAATCGGTTCGTGCTTTCTGGAGTTAAATCGTCAAGAAGGACTTATTTAATCGTCAGACCCGACTTATTTTTATATATATGTAGATAATCTATTTGAAATTATTTAAAACAATTATTGATTATTTTCATTACTCGAATTTTTAATTACGGTGCGTGAAGTTCCAGTAATTTGCATTAGGGCACGATGCCATGCACAACTAATTTTCTTAGCTATAAACCTTGCGGAGCCAGAGACTTTTCCAAAGAATGCAAAATTGTCGAAATCGGTTCGTGCGTTCTGGAGTTAAATCGTCAGGAAGGAAAACCCGACTTATTTTTATATATATGTAGATAACGGCGCAAAGTTGGTTCTTATATTTAAAGACAACGGCATGAAGCTATCTTTTATAGATAAAGGCTACAGTATAACTTTGCATAATGTATAATGACAAAGTTGTTTTTCATATTAAAGGGACAACGGCATGAAGTTGTCTCTTGTAGACATATATAAAGACAACAGTATGAAGTTGTTTTTTATATATAAAGACAAAGGTGTGAAGTCGTTTCGTCTATATGTTGACTACCGTTTGAAGTTGTCTCTTATAGATAATGAAAAATTCACAATATGGCTAACAATTCATTTATAAAATGATAAAAGATTGAATTCTGTCCTTCAACAAACCTTTCTGACCACTCAGACAAAAACTTTAATATTTTTCCCCCATGCTTTTTTTATTTGTCTGAATATTTATACTTGATTTTTCTATTTTTGCTGTGTTTTCTTTTGTCGTTGTGAAATGTTGTTATTGGAAAATCAAAAGGGAGGGCACTGTGTCGGAGTGGAGTTGCGTAACAAGTCGAAATCCGAAGCGAAATTGGCTAAGATGCTCGGGGAATCCAAGCAGAGGCTGCACGAGCACAGGGGCAAAGTCAATGAAAGAGTACGTTGGTAAAAGATAATAAAGATAAATTAAAAGATAATAAAGATACGAGACTGATATTGGTTAAGAAAGTTTAGGTTAGGTTATAGTGGTAAATTTGTATTTGGTAGATAAATACTGATGTAAAGGTGTAGTGTGTTTACATTATAGGACTTTTATTGATGTTTTAGATTTATATTTATATTCAGTAAAATTTATTTTATTTTACAGTTTTATATCTTGGTCTTATTGTATCAATAATACAGTTCAGCTTTTTATGAATCTACAATATTTGTGGACAAAATTCAGAAATGTGCAATATTTATTTCTAAAACTTAAATCTGTTTATTTCATTTACTATTTATTTATATATTAAACTGTGGATCTATTATCATCATTTTTTGGTAGATGTTGAGTTTAATCTATTTTCTAATTATTTCTCGATCAACTAGATGGAATGTTGTGCAAAAATCTTAAGCGACACCATGAACTTACTCTTCACATCAGATTTGGGTCCCACGATGTCTGATATCAGAATCATCATGTTATCCTTACTCAGAACTGTTATTCAAACCATAGTGGCTATGGGCAATGAGAACACCATGGTGGTAAGTCGAATAGTAATAAATAATAAATAAATTATTTAAAATTAACTGTCTATCCTTTCCTTTTAGGGTAATTTTGTGGCAATAATGCTAGCAATCTTTCGACAAATGACAACAGTACACTTCGAAGAGTACATTGGCCACTTTGCAACCAGGACAGATCTCCTTGATTTCCTCATGGAGATTCTGATGGTGTTTGAAGATCTGGTAACGAGGGCTGTTTTTCCAGCGGACTGGTGCGATATGATCATGCTGCAGAATTGTGTTGTGCTGAAGTGTCTCACGTAAGGGAGAGGACTGATTATTTTATAATTAATAATCTAGTTTTAGAATAAGCGTAATCTAGCTTAGCTTAATCATTTTAATAACTTTGGCACACATAATGTGTGCCATCATTCAGCACATTCATGAATTCTAAAAAATATTTTACTAGAAGATGTATTAAATATAAAAAAATGATCAATACACACCAATTTAAAGCAACAAAACACATACAAATTTAAAGACATTGTTCAATGAAAAAATAAAATAATAAACTAATATATAAATAATAAAATTATATTATTAGTCACATGACTAACAAATTATAAATGGAACACAATTGCAAAGTCATACCTTATAGACACAAAGGGGGGTTTACAAATCTTTATCCAGGGTCAAATTAAAAAAAAAACATATATATATACATATATTTAGATTCTAGATTTTTTTGTTCGACTTTGAGACATATTCTTGCAATGTTAATTTTTTAATAATGAACTATTTCTATAAATACTTTTCGACACGGTATGTGTGTCGTCATTCAGTTTTTTTTTTAATAATTTAATAAACAGTATCTAAAAGTGCAAAGCTTAAAAAGATTAAATTTAAAATATATTATAGATTAAAATAAATTAAACAAGTAAAAAATGGATGCATACAACACCAGGAAAAACACTAACAAAAAATTAAACATTATTTAAAAAATAAAACATAAAAAAAAGTAAAAATAATTATAAAGTTGAAACATAAAGTTTTAACAGAATAATGAGCCCAAAGCAAGCAAACCCGATGTAAGACTAGGTTTCAAGGAAAGTTAAACAATGATGGACACAGACTAGAGAAAATAAAATAACAAAAAGATATGGAAACATTAAAATTAAAAAAAGCTAAAATTGAAAAAAAAAATAATAAGAGTCAAAGATTTGAAGAATTATTTTTAAAAAAATTAATAATATGATAAGAGTCATGTACTAAAAGAGCAGAATTTTGATTATTAACCAAAGGGGGTTTGAAAAGATAAAAACAGATTCAGAAAATTTTCTAAGGTCACCATTCTTTTACTTGTGTAAAATAATAGGAAAAGTATGGTTTAAATTAATTATATGTTCTGAAAACAGTCTTATATTGATTTGGATTTTTTGAATTACAAATATGTTGATTCATTCTCTTGTAAATATATTGAGAACTTTCTCCAATGTAATAAAAATTACAATTGTTACAACTTACTTTGTTAACAATATCAGTAACATTCTCAACAGGAGTTTTAGACTTTAAGGAATTGAAAAGGGAGTTGAAAGTATTGTCAAAATTAAAAACTAACATAAAACCTTCATTTTTTTAATTCAACGACTGGCTGCAAATTAACATTTTAAGAATATATATATATATATATATATATATATATACATATGTGTGAAAATATGTTTATTTATAATTATTTATTTCAGACATTTTTCACATGCAATGAAAGAGCATTTCTTCAGCTGCTTCGATCACCAGGTACAATATTTGAAAATCAATGAATTGTTGAATATATATATATATATATTTCTATTATTTATTTTATTTCAGGCCTGGAATAATTTCTTCCATTGCACAATAGCATTTTTAACACAACCAGCTTTACAAATCGAAACATTCTCATCGAGCAAACAAGCCAGGATTATTTCGAGGTACAAAGATATGAGAAGAGAAGCTGCTTTCGAAATTAAAGCTATGTGGATTAATTTAGGTAACAAACAATACTTCTTTTGATAGTTAAATAAAACTCACATCATCCTGCTATTTATAGTTCAGCAATTTTAATCATGGTCTTATTTATCATATGTTTTGTAATTGTTGAAGATTTATAAATATATATAATTTATAATTTATTATTATATAAATGTGTATAATGGTTGACACTAATAAATGTGTTATCATGAGTGTTACCATATTACTAATAAACATTATTCAAAATTGTTATATAATGTAATTATTTTTACTTAAATGCCATCTTGTACAGTAGCAAATAAGTTTTACTTCAATCGCGTGTGAACCTTACACACACTCTTTTTTCTTCTTCTGTTCCTAATTCTTTTTCTCTTTTAGGTCAATACAAAGGACAATTTGTACCAGCTTTAGTCGGTTCAATTCTAGAAATGTCTCTGATACCGGACAAGGAATTAAGAAAAGCGACCATACCAATCTTCTTTGACATGATGCAATGTGAATTCTACTCTTCAAAACATCTACCAGAGTCCTACGGAGACACTAAGAGGGATTCAAGTCACATTAAGGGAAGGTTTACTGATTTTGAGAACGAGATGATTGCTAAATTAGATATACTAGTTGAGGGTAAAGGATACATTCAATTTTTATTTAAATAAATGATTTATTTGCTTATAATTTGTTTTTTTACAGGTGGTCGTGGAGATAGTCAATATGCGCAACTTTTCAACCAAATTTTAATAAAAATGTGTGAATCACATAACAATCTTTGTGAACAAGGTAAACAATTTGTAAACACAGTCACCAGACTCATGGAGAAATTGTTGGAGTACCGTTGCATCATAAATGATGAAAACAAAGAGAATCGGATGGCCTGCACAGTCAGCTTACTGGTAAAATATTTAAATGATACATAATTACAATAACTACAATGCTTATCTATTATATGTATATTTCTATATCTTTTTTTTGTAGGATTTTTATTCTGAGATTAACCGTAAAGAAATGTACATCCGTTACGTGAACAAATTGTGCGATTTGCATTTAGAATGTGATAATTATACAGAAGCTGCTTATACTCTAACTCTGTACAGCAATTTATTGACCTGGTCTGATGTTCCTTTGTCACCGTTGCTAAAGTCACACCAGAATGCTGCTGCAGGATTACAGACTCATCGAGAACTAAAGGAGTCTTTGTATAATGATATTATACATTACTTTGATAAGGGAAAGGTAAATTAGGGAATAAAAATTACGTGTAATTATTTTTATGTAATAATGCAAATGTTATTTTTCTAGATGTGGGAGTGTGCTCTGGAGGTTTGCAAAGAGCTTGCAAAACAGTATGAAGAGGAAGTATACGATTATACACAATTAAGTGCTTTGCTAAAACAAATGGCACATTTTTATGAAAATATCATGAAGCAATTGAGAGCAGAGCCTGAGTATTTCAGAGTTGCTTATTATGGAAGAGGATTTCCACCATTTTTGCAAAATAAGGTAAAGAAATAACTCAGAGAAATGTTTTAGTTTAATTTGAAGTTTTTTTTAATTTAGTTTAATAGAATTGATGTTCCTAATATAAATATTCTAAGCTGTTTCTAGATTCTAGTTAGGCTCTAATTTGAATCTTACTATTTCTCAACCAAATCTTAAGAAAATGGTTATAAGATTCCCATGATAATCTTATCAGACATATTTGGAATTACTTTAATTTCATAATTTAAATCTGATTAGATTCTAAATGAGTTTCTGAATATTCTAAGCTATTTCTTGATTCTAGTTAGTCTCTAGTTTAAATCTTACTATATTTTAATCAAATCTTAAAAAAAATGGTTATAAGATTTTCATGAGAATCTTATCAGAGCCTTTTTGGAATTTTCTAATTTAAAACTGCTTAGACTCTAAATGAGTTTCTAAATATTCTAAGCTATTTCTTGATTCTAGTTAGGCTCTAATTTAAATCTTGCCAAATCTGAACAAATCTTAAGAATATGGTTATAAGATTTACATGAGAATCTTATCAGAGCCTATTTGGAATCCCCTTAATTTCCTAATTTAAATCTGATTAGATTCTAAATGAGTTCCTGAATATTCTAAGCTATTTCTTGATTCTAGTTAGTCTCTAGTTTAAATCTTACTATATTTTAATCAAATCTTTAAAAAAATGGTTATAAGATTTTCATGAGAATCTTATCAGAGCCTTTTTGGAATTTTCTAATTTAAAACTGCTTAGACTCTAAATGAGTTTCTAAATATTCTAAGCTATTTCTTGATTCTAGTTAGGCTCTAATTTAAATCTTGCCAAATCTGAACAAATCTTAAGAATATGGTTATAAGATTTACATGAGAATCTTATCAGAGCCTATTTGGAATCCCCTTAATTTCCTAATTTAAATCTGATTAGATTCTAAATGAGTTCCTGAATATTCTAAGCTATTTCTTGATTCTAGTTAGTCTCTAGTTTAAATCTTACTATATTTTAATCCAATCTTTAAAAAAATGGTTATAAGATTTTCATGAGAATCTTATCCGAGCCTATTTGGAATTTCTTTAATTTTAAATCTGCTTAGATTCTAAATGAGTTTCTAAATATACTAAGCTGTTTCTTGATTCTAGTTAAGCTCTAATTTAAATCTTACTATATCTCAACTAAATTTTAAGTAAATGGATATAGATTCACATGAGAATCTTATCAGACATATTTGGATTCTCCTTAATTTCCTAATTTAAATCTGCTAAGATTCTAAATGAGTGTCTAAATATTCTAAGCTGTTTCTTGATTCTAGTTAGGCTCTAATTTAAATCTTACTATATCTCAACCAAATCTTAAGAAAATGGTTATAAGTTTCCTAAGAGAATCTTATCAGAGCCTATTTGGAATCTTCTTAATTTTCTAAGCTGTTTCTTGATTCTAGTTAGGCTCTTGTTTAAATCTTACCAAATCTTAAGAAAATGGTTAAAAGATTCCCATGAGAATTAGAGTCTATTTGGAATCTCCTTAGTTTCTAACTAGATGCTTATTGGGCTTGCAGTAGATTCTTATGAGATTTTCTCTTGACCCTTGATTCTTATGAGATTTCTCACCAGTATTTTATTAGATTTTGATTGAACTGATTTCACCCTTGCTTATTACAATGTAATTGGATTATTACTAGCAGAATCTTATTAGATTCTCAGCGCAATCTGATTACATACTTTTGCATTTCTATGTCTAGTTAAACTCTAATTTAAATCTTACTATACCTCAATCAAACCTGAAGTATAACGTTATTAGATTTTTAGGAGAATCTTATCAGAACCTATTTGGATTCTTCTTAGTTTCTAACTGCATGCATATTGGGCTTGCATTAAGATTTTCTCTAGACGCCCATAAGATTTCTCAACGGTAATCTTATTAGATTCCGATTCGAATGAGTGTGGAGAATAGTGAATAGTCAGTATCCACCATTACTTAATAAATCTAATTGGATATTCTATTGGATATAGATTAGATTAGATGTATTAAATATATAAGATTCACAATTTTTAAAGGTAACAAACAATCAATATACAAAATAGAATGAAGAAATAATTTTGTGCCTTGATTTTATGAAACTTGATTCCACCGTTACTTATTACAATCTAATGGGATTCTTCTATATTTCTAGAAGAATCTTATTAGATTCTCAACGCAATCTGATTAGATTCTTCTGCATTTCTATGCCATTTATACCTAGTTTATTATATCTTTTTAAATCTCTCTAATAAGATGAATGATTTATTTTTAGAAAATGTGACCATACTTAAATAATATGGAATATTTTCTATAAACGATTAATACCTGACAATAAAATCTAATTAATTTAAGCACATTTATTTGTACTTGTAATCTTTTAACTACTCCCATAATATCAATAGAATAAAATTGAAGAATCTACAATAATCATATTATTATTATAATTAACATTATAATTCATTACTATACATTCAAATTACAATAAGCAATTATAAACAGCCCACAAAGAGGTGTTGCAGATTAAAACTATTATCATCATAGGCAATTTCTATAACTTTTTTAATTTTATATATGTTTTTCTCTCAGGTATTTGTTTATCGAGGCAAAGAATATGAACGTCTATCAGATTTCAGTTCTCGTACCTTGAATGCTTTACCAAATGCTGAACTTATGTCTACGTTGACACCTCCTGGTGATGAAATTAAAGAATGCAATGGGCAATGTAAGTTAAAAAATAACAAACGATGACACTTAATATTCCTTAATGTTGTAATTAAATTGAAAGATTTTATAACTTTATTTATACTTTTAATCTGCTTATTATTATGATGAGTTTTTTATATCAAATGATCAATTTGTTTTTTCTGTTTTTTTTTCAGATGTGCAAATTAATAAAGTCGAGCCTGTGATGGAAGATAAACAAAATCGTTTCTCTGGGAAACCTGTTAGTGATCAAATATTGAAATATCACAAAGTCAACAATATTAAGACTTTCAAGTTTTCAAGACCGTTTTATCAAAGAGGTAAAGGCAAATAAACTACACAGTAATTAGAATTACAAGAGAAAAAAATACCTATTATGTATATTTTGGCACTATATGTATGTCATCATTCAGCAAGTTTTTATTTCATAATTTTGGCTTAAAAATGCAGTTTTAACTTCCCATAAGACAAGTTATAGTAATCGCAAAAAAATCGAAAATGAAAATTTTTATATATCTTTACGTTTCAAAGGTTTTTCAACATTTTGGCATACATTAGAATAATTAGATATTTGTGTGTGTGTGTGTGTGCGGATACAAATTTTCGTCGACGATTTCGGGAACACCGATCAACCGATTTGAATAATTCAAAAAACATTTGATTCGTATTGATAAGGAAACGTGATGATTAGTTTTTGGCGAAGGCACGTCTAGCCGTTCCGAAATACGGGACAAAAAGTGCCAAAAACGATAACCCAGTTTTTAAGAGAACGAAGCGTCCGATTTTAATAATTCAAAAATGATTTTACTTGTATTGTCAACATGAATAACTGATTAAATTTTTGGGAAGGCAGGTCGAGCGGTTATGGACTCTCAATAAAAATAAGCTAAAAGAATGATATTGTGCAGTCAAAAATGTTTATTGGACATATGTACATCAAATTATCAGATATTTTATAGAGATTTTAATAATGTGTACACATTTTGTGTAATTTTTTTGGGTTCCTTACCAAGATTTTTAATTACGGTACGGGAAGTTCCAGCAATTTGCATTAGGCAAGATGCCGTGCACCACTAGTTAGAATATGTTTGAACGCCAAACATATATATAATAATCAATTTATTCGAATGTAAATTAATAAGCATCTTTTTTGCTTTTTAGGAGGCATTATGTCCTCTTCTTTGATTTAAATTTTTAGCTATATGTTGCATTTATTTATAAACGTTTTAAAATTAATTAATTAAATAAATTTTAGTGTTTTAAGTGTTAATTTATCCCGGTTAATTTGTTGAATAATGATACATCAAGTGTCGAAATGTATAATTAATGAATAATGTTGTCATTTTAACTCTTATTTGTTTTCTAACTATTTTAAATTATTATCAACGTCGAAAAAACAATCATGTTCGGACCTATTTTCGTTTTATTATATTGGCCATGAAGGTGACAAACCTCATGGCATTGAGCTTTTGCACGGAATGGTTGCTACTAATATATAAGTTGCACAATTAAGCACCCTGTCAAGATTTATCAAAGTGAATTTAATATGTGTATTATTATTTCAGATTCTTCTATTGGTGAACAAAATGAATTTGCAACATTGTGGCTCGAGAGAACTATATTAAAAATTAGATCACCTCTGCCCGGTATCTTGAGGTGGTTTCCTGTAGACCAAACTCAAACATTCAACGTAAGTAGAGAGATGATTTTTTTCAAATCATCAGAAGACAATCACTCATATTCATTGATCTAATTTTTTAATGTATTTTTTTTTTTTTTTTCAGATATCTCCATTAAGAAATGCTATAGAAACAATGGAAGCTGCAAATAAGACTTTACGAGATTTGATAATCAGTTACAAGAGTGATCCTACTTTACCATTAAATCCTTTGAGTTTAAAATTAAATGGTAAGTAATTAATGAAAGTAATTTTTTATTCAAACATATGTTTTCTATAATATGTTAAAATGGCTTTGATTAACCAAATTTACATGATTTAATTTTTTTCTTACCTTTTTAACTTTAGATTTTAAAATTGTTTAGTCAAAATCATAAGTTTAATAACTTTGTTTACTAATATTAATAATTTTATAAATTATTCATATCTCTACAATATTTGATAATGATTGTATTAGTATATTTGATTATCCTTATTTTTATTTATCAAGGGGGTCACCATTTCAATAAACTTGTTTACCAATAATAATAATTTAATAAATTATTTATCTTTTATGATTTGTATTTGAATTTTTATAAATCAAAAAAATATTTCTATCTAGGAATTGTGGATGCTGCAGTGATGGGTGGAGTGACAAATTATGAAGTAGCCTTCTTCACCGATGAATATTCTGAAGCTCATCCGGACGACACTATGCTGATTCAGAAATTGAAAGATTTGATTGCTTCACAAATACCGTTACTAGAACTTGGTAATAAAATAAAGCTAATCAAATTCTTTATGATCATATAGTGTATAAGAACTATTATTTTAAATTCTGTATTTGATGGAATTGAAATCAGTAGAATTTGAACATGCACTTTATTGATGCAAATTGTAAATAAAAATAGAGGATTTTACTTTTACTATATATTGGAGATGTTTGTATTTATATTTCTGATTTTTTATTCTGTTTTTTTGTTTCAGGAATTACACTGCACAAACAAAGGGCTCCACCAAGTCTGATGCCTCTCAATAACAGGCTTGAGCAATGCTTTTTGCAAATGAGAGCACACATTGAAGAAAAATATGGAAAGAAGGTATGAAATAGTTATTTGATAATATATTTCAAAACTAATATATATATAATTACTAAGATAAAACTAATTTTATAGCAGCCATGCCAAACAAACTTTATTTTTATCATAGCCTATGGTACCTATATTTCTTTTATAGCTAAATTTAATATGTTATTTACATCTTCAAATGAGTTTTTTTAAGTTATTTTGAGGAATGAATTCATAAAGATTATTACAATTTGGCATTATAAGAATTATTATTGTACCAAAAATTGTACCTTGTGGAACACCCAACTTAATATTCAGTTTGTCTTTAACAATTACTGAACCACGGTCATCCAGAAAGGAAAAATTTTTGCTTGATGAAACTAATTTTATAGCAACCACGTCAAACAAACTTTATTTTTATTATAGCCTATGGTAACTATATTTCTTTTATAGCTAAATACAATATGTTATTTACATCTTCAAATGAGTTTTTTTTTTAAGTTATATTAAAGAATGAATTCATGAAGATTATCACTATTTGGCATTATTAGTTTTATTATTGTACCAAGAATTGTACCTTGTGGAACACCCAACCTAATACTTAGTTTTTCTTGAACCATTTCTGAACTAAAGTGTTTTATCAATCTCTATATCATGTTAACAGTATTTGATAATATTATTCTATTACCTTATTTAATATATTTTTTATCCAGACTTGTGATGTGAAATTGGACCGAGAACCCCTAGTGACAATGAGATCTCATTTTTCAACACGGAGTGGAATTTCACAATGCAGCAGCAACAATGGTGCTATTGATGGCAACAATCGATTATCAGAAGTCAGCATGGGGTCATCAGAGTAAGTAAACATTTTAATAGATTGATTCTAATTATGTTTAAAGTATTACTATTTTATTATTTGTTTAAATTGTTATTAATTGTAGTTTAATTTGTAACCTAACATATTTTTCTTTAAGAACTTCAAACTTAGTTATTATTAGATGTTACAGTTTAGTAGTTCACCTCAATATTTTATCTCAATTGGGGGGCGGTCCATTAATCATGTGAGCAATTTTTTAAGGATTTTTGGATTCCCCCTCCTCCTTGGTGATACATGGTGATATTCCAAATTATCCATCCCCCCCCACAAAACATCACGTGTATTTTTATTTACGTGAAAAAATTGTAAAAAATAAATACACATGATATCCTACTATACCCCTCCCTTCACTACGTGATATTTCGTGATTTTTTGTCAAACCCCCTCCCCTCTCCCTTAAAACCACCCTTAAAACCTTGATTAATTGACGCTCCCTTGGAAGTAAACTATCAAACAATTGTTTCATCAAAGATGTACATTTGCCATTGTAATTTTTTATTCATCAATAACAAATGTAACTAAAGTAAATGTCAATTACTAATCTATGTCTTTGTTTAGCGGTAGCAGATCTCGAGTATCAAGTTTGTCTCGATCACAAACCAACTCGGTGTCTGGTAAATTCAACTTTTCTACGTCTTTCAATTTGACTAACATGAATACCACATTGTCATTGACAAGGTAATTGTATGATTTATACATTAATAATATTATTATTCTTGCTAATATTAATAATGTTTTATTATTGCTCAACAGAAATTCTCATAGCAATTCAAACAATAAAAATTCAGTTTTGAGTTCATCACAATCACCTTCTCCTACTAAAGCTAAACGAGAAAAGGATAAAATACCATCAAAGAGAAGATCCAGCAGAAAGGTAATATATATATATATATATATATATATATATATATATATATATATATATATATACTAGCAAACCCAACGAACTCCGTTTCGCCACCAGATGGTTTCGTGAGAAAGATGAAGAAATTTTTTGTTTGTTTTATATTTGAAAAGGAAAAATTTGATTTTATTATACAACAGTAATGAATTTATTTCGATTACAAAAATGAAGTGTTTTTTAGTTGAACTTCTCTAAGTAAATGAAAGTGAATCCGCAAATTATCCGTTTCATTGAAGTGCCCTTTAGTAAACCACAATTTTTGATTTTTGGTCTGACCTTAACACAAACAAAGCGGATGGTTTTCCAACTCGTGAACAGGCAACGTATAACTGCCCATGTGAAAAACAATGATTTTCTAAATTATCTATTTGAAATTTATTCCGCAAACACTAAGCGCTTGGCCTTGCGACTTGTTATTGCGAACGCAAGGCGAACTGGAAATTGCAATCGTTTGAAGTCAAACGGAAGACCAGTCGGAATCATTGTCGCCAGCAATTTTTGATTGAATGGTGAAATTCAGTGCGTGTACATCATTATTCCTTGCGGCAAGAATTGCTCGTTGACTTAACCAAGCATAATTCTGATAATTCTCACTAACGTCATGACTCGAATTTTTAATTACGTTGCGTGAAGTTCCAGCAGCTTGAATTAAGGCACGATGCCATGCACAACTAGTTTTTTTTAGCTATAAACCTTGCGGAGCCCGAGCCTTTCCAACGAATGCAAAATTGTCGAAATCGGTTCGTGCGTTATGGAGTTATTTCGTCAGGAAGGAAAACCCGACTTATTTTTATATATATATGGAAGATATATATATATATATATATGTATCATTTATCTTTTATCTTTTATTTATTATCCTTTCTAGTTGGATCGAGAAGCCCTATCTCTACAACTAACATCAAACCAAACCTCTTCCAATTACACATCAACACCTCCTACGTCTATATCCACGAGCCATTGGTATGCAGCAATAACACCTCCAAGTGAATCCTGTGACTCTTTAGCTTCACTGGCTTTGACATCACCGAGGGATTCTAAAGACACAACTGCAGGAGAGATGTCCCCAAAAGTTGTGGAGCTTAGCGAAGAGGTAAGTGAAAGATTTTTTGGAAAAAGTATGATTGTTGTAGGTATGGCAGAGGGGATAGATAATTGATAATTAAAAATTGGTTTTAATGGTTAAGACACTTATAAAATTATAATAATATTATCATTTTGATAATTGTATCAAAGGTTTCTGATCAATTAGTACATATTGACTTTTAAATATATTCTATTTAAATTATTTTATATTAATTATTAATTTCATAAAACGTAATTATTAAAAAATGATGTTTGTTTTGAAAAGCAGTAGAAATTAATGATTTTGTTTACCTTATTTTTATTTATGGATAATTATAATTAAATTTTGTAGACCAATTGAGAGAAACTTTGCCTTATTCTACATAATCATGACTTTGATTTGTATATGTACAGGGTATCCTAGAACTCAACGTCAAGTCGAAACAACGTGATAATATTGTAACTATCATGACGAAAACTAGAAAAAAATTATATTATGTAGTTTAAGAATTATGAGCTTTTAAGTGCAACCAAGAGCTTTGGTGAAAATGTGACCATTTTGGGGATATTGTGTTTTTTTCTGAATCAAGTTTATTCATTCAAAGTTTAAATTTTAAACTTTGTAGCAGCAATCGTCAGTAATATTTCTAGAACCACAGTCAAAAACAGTTACATAATTTTTCCAAGTTTTCAAGGATCAAGACTTTTGAACTATTTTAAATGATCAAAATTGTATTATCAGAATTTTAAAATTGTAAATTACTTGATAGTTACATAATAAAAAAAATCGAGTAAAAAAATAAAAATCTGAAAATTTACGTTGAGTTCTGGGACACCCTTTATATATACCTATCTATCTATATATATATATATATATATATATATATATATATATATATATATATATTTGTGCGCATTTTCTCGTTAAATGTGGTTGAAAGTTTTTTGCATGCTTCTGTTTTGTTAGTGTTAATACAGTACATTTTGAGATGTATATCATTTGATTCATTTTTTTAACTTTAAGGCTTCTTTTTTATCAAAATAAATAATTACAATCATCATTTATAATTACTTTTACTTTTCGGGGATATGGGATGTCCCTTTCTTCAAAAACTTTTAAAAACTAACAATTTTTTTTGTAATCATTTATACACAATCATTTAAATTTATTTTAAAAATCACTTTCGAAATATTTAAATTAAAATGAATTTTTTTTTACATATTTATGCATTTTTTTAATTAGTGAAAACTTGAAAGAATTAGCTTAACTTTGAAGTATTGAATTTAAAAATGTTTTAAAATAAACGCATACTAAAAATTTAATCATTCATTCACTAAAAATTAAAATGGATGAACTTTGAGTTGTATGATGGTTGTGGGTGTTGGTATGAGTGTATGTATAATAAAGAACAAAAATTCTGAATTCTTTTTACTAGACAGACACTTCGTTATTTCTTCTTGTTTTTGGGTATACGTTTTTAAAATTTATCAAAAAAACGTTAATTAGGTTTGATAATTTTATAGAATATAAGGTTGTATAAATTGTATTATATCTTTGTGTCTATTTATGAATTTATTGTCTTTGCATTTTTATGATTATGATGAATGATGAATAATTTCTTTTATAAATGCTGATTTGTGTATAGCTCTTTTTTCTTTAATTTTGCTTAGTTTGTCCTATGTACAATACCGGACAATCTTGCAATTTATGTTATATGTAGTGTTATATTTTTTCATATTGAGTAATTAATATTTTGTTTTTGTCAGATATATAGACGCAATATTTATTATTATTAATAATAATTAATCGACAAAATGGTCGCCTTAGATAATATAAAAATGGCCGTCTTAGACAAATAATAATGGCCGCTCCAGCCAATATGGTAATGGCCGCTGACACAATTATTTTTTACAATTGTATCTTTTCATTTGCTTTTGATTTTTCTCGCTTGTTTGTTTGTTCGTTGTCGTCGTAATTAACGTGTAGCCTGCTTTTATCCTGATCTTAAAGTTGATTTCCAAGCGGCCGTTGCGATCGGAGGTCGAGAGAGAAAAGAGGCTGAGCGGACGCCCGTCCAGCGGTCAATTCCTGAACAGTATCACCCCGACTGCACTAGGAAACAACCTGGCGAACACTGTGTTGCAATCTGCTGGTTCTGGAGAATCTAGCAACAGGAATTCAATAGGTACAACATAATTTAGTAGTTATAAATATACCCATTAATCCATTAATTTTTTATCCAGGTACTACGGATTCAACAGCAAGTGAGGAAGACGCACGTCCTCCTCCATTGCCTTTAAAACATGTCACAACAGTTAGGGTCACCAGTGGAGATAGTTTCAATAATGATGACCAAGGACCCATATCGCCTCCTCCGCCTCCGCCTACGAGGTCACCAGATAGGACTCCACCAACACCTCCACCTAAACCTTACAGACAAAGACCTGCAACTGTCGTTAGTAGAACAGAGTCTTATGAGTAATGGATAAATGGATAAATAAATTTTACCAAAATATTTGACATTTGATGGAAAGTTACCTGAGTGTGCCATTGTCAAAACTATATCGACAAGTATTTTATATAATTTTTATTACTAAGACAATCATATATTTTATTTCACTTGTATATAAGTATTCGTATACATCAACCAGGCCTAAAATAATGAATGAGACATCAAACCTTAAGGGCTTCCGTATAATTTAAGGCCTACAGTTTTCTTTGCAGTGACGAGAGAATTTTAGTCATTCACCAAAGCCATAACGATAGATTTTATATCTTGATAGAATAAATTAGATTAATCATATGGTAATAAACTTAAATAAACAGTTTTAATTAATTTATCTTTATTAATAAGTTCAGGTTTTGGAAACCTAAGGCCAGTGGCTTTTATTAAGTAATTTACATACGAAAGGGTTTTCAACACCTGCAGTTATCGATTAATGCCATATTGTAAAACATATCAAAGCCATTTATAAATCATTTATATATTAATAAACAATGGCATATATTTATATTTTATTATGCTTACCAAAGACTTATTTTATCAATTTTATTTTAATTTTGACGTTATATGAAACATTCATGTACTTTTATAACAAACATATATGCATGCAATATTTTTATAAGTGCAACAGTATTGAACAAATAAACCAAATTTTACTAAATTTTATTGTTAATTTATTTTTAGAAATTTACTATTGGTGGATTAGTAGATCAAAGTAATGGACTCTTAAACAAACCGGAATGGATGTAGATATTTATACCAAGTAGAACATGACATTTAAGGAATATATAAATAACAGGTTGCAAGTTTGATGATCTTAGGAATTATTTTTGAACTTTAACACATGGTAAGAAATAACTAAAGTATTATAAATTGAGATTTTTTCATATTTTCAACTTTCCGCAGACGTAGACAAAAAAAATCGAAAATGAAAATGTTTATATATCTTTACGTTTCAAAGGTTTTTGAACCTTTTGGCATACTTTAGAAAAAATGGATGTATATGTTTGTGTGTGTGTGCGCGGTTACAAATTTGCGTCGACGATTTCGGGAACACCGATCAACCGATTTGAATACTTCAAATAACATTTGATTTGTATTGATAAGGAGACGTGCTGATTAGTTTTTGGCATAGGCAGGTCTAGCCGTTTCGAAGATACGGGGCAAAAAGACCTAAAAACTGTAGCTCAGTTTTTATGAGAACGGAGCGTCCGATTTTAATAATACAAAAAACATTTTACTGGTATTGGCAAGAAATTTTTGGGAAGACAGGTCCGGCGGTTATGGACTCTCAATAAAAATAAGTTAAAAAATGTCATATCTTTATTGGACATATGTACATCAATATCAGATATTTTATAAAGATTTTACTAATGTTTATTTTCGTATTTGGTGTATTTTTTTTGGGTTCCGTCCAAGATTTTTAATTACGGTACGGGAAGTTCCAGCAATTTGCCTTAATGCACGATGCCATGCACCTCATAAGTTAATTTATTTGTTTTGTACTATTTAATATAACTAGTGGTTTATGGTATTGTGCCTTTTAGGCTAATTGCTGGAACTTCCTGTACCAAAAATTAAATTTTTAAAAAAAGAAAAGTATGTTTTAAACTTTGAAAAAAAAAATGGATTTTTGAGAAATTTTAAATTTTTGAAAAAAAAACTACTTTTTTAGAAAAAAACTTTTGGAAAAAATGTTCCTTTTTAGTTTGAAATATTTTGGACATTTTAAATTTTTTTTTCAAAGCAATCGCACTGCTTTAGCTGCATAGAGACGCAATATCGAAGCGCATAAGCGCCGCGTCGCCGTCTAACGGATAAACATTGGTACGCAACCCAAAGGAATGTAAACAAAATTGATACACATTATTAAAATCTCCAAAAAAATATCTGATAAATTGATGTGCATATGTCTAATCATAGATACCTCAAAATGACCTTTTTTATTTTTTTTACTAGATCTCCGAAACCGCTAGACCTGCCATCCGTAAAACTTAATCAGTTCTTCATCTTGTCAATACAAGTAAAATGTTTTTTGAATTATTAAAATCGGACGCTCCCGTTCTCTTAAAAACAACAGAGTTACCATTTTTGGCACTTTTTGCCCCGTATCTTCGAAACGGCTAGACCTGCCTAAGCCAAAAACTATTCAGCACGTCTTCTTATTAATAGGAATCGAATGTTTTTTGAATAATTGAAATTGTTTGAACCGTGTTCCCGAAATCGTCAACGAAATTTTGTATTTGCACTCACATACATCCATTTTTTCTAAGATATGCCGAAATGTTCAGAAACCGCTGAAACGTAAAGATATACAAAAAAATTATTTTCGATTTTTTTACGATTACTATAACTTGCCCTACGGGAAGTTAACAAGTATTTTTTGTGTAAAACATCATGATGTGAAGGCAAATATGAAATCAGGAGGCGTCCATTAATCACATGATCGATTTTTTAAGGATTTTTGGACCCCCACCCCTTTGGTAATACGTGATGATATTTAAAATTACCCCCACTCCCACAAAACATCACTCGTATTTTTAGACAGAGTAGAGTAGAAAAGTGTCGTTTAAAAATTCATTTAAAAAATAATATTACATAAATTATGAATAAATAAAAAATATAGTAAGTAAAAGCATTAATTAGTTGCTCAAGAAATAGTTCATGGTCGTTACTTTTGTTTATATGCTAAAAATATGATATTTAATTAAAAAGTCAATTTGATTAAAAAATTGATTGATTTATTCAATACTATTCTATAATCATTTTATTTATACTCAGATTACATCATTTTCATTTTACGAATCTTCTGTGATTGTAATATCCTTCTGGGGCAGCACATTAGGTTCCCTCACCAACGACAACAACTTGTCTAACTTTGCAATCTGCATAGTCCTCTGATCCAAACCTTGCTGTTTCTTCGGAGCCTTACACATCTTCCTCAAATTTGGAGACAGCTTCAAAGTCGAAGTGTTTCCTTTGTCATCCCCACATATTATAAAAGGCAATTTAGGATTAAAAGCCATCCTGGTCAACTTACTACGCCTCCTCGATACTACAGGTTGCACACAAATCGGTTTGTACTTGTTAACATTCAAGTCAAAGATGTAAAGCTTTCCTTCTTGTGTACAAGCGCCAAAGACAGTGCTCGAATAAGGTGCCCATTTGACATCACCAACTGGTGAGTTTAAATCGAACACGAATAATGGATCTTCCCGAACATCCTCCCAGATTTTTATCCTCCAGTCGCCACTGCAGGAGATGAATATCGAGGAGTTGAATTTGTTGAAGTCTATTCGATACACCGGCATTGTGTGAGCATTGTATGTTTGCAGATATGACGCCGAGTAGGCTGTGCTGCATTTGTGGATTTTACCTTCCTCGGTGCCTACCATGAATATGGATTCAATACCTGGATGGAAGCATAAGCAACTGGCACTCCCTTTGAGTGGTATTGTTGTCCCATCAGGTCCAGGAATTATATCAAATGACCTCAACAGGGTTATCACTGTAGTCACACTCAACTCGGTTAACATCATCACCCAGTTCTTGACTTTACCATCACCAGAACACGAATAAAAGTTTTTTTCGCCATCTTGCATATCAGGGCCCCATTTGATCTCCCAAATAATACCACAGTGTTTGTTATTCACCGCATCGCTCATGAATTGTGGTTTTGGAGGCGGCAGTTGTACATTGTACACGGATACAGAACCATCGAAGAAACCTACAACCACCAGATAAGGTAACGTTGGATGTATATCCACGCACATGGCACCGTGTCTTGTCATGCAGATGTATTCAGGGTAAGATGGGTTTTTGATAGTATAAAGAGCCAACGCACCTTCTTCGGGTTGCTTTAAGAAGTCCACGGATCCAAAAGTGACTGCAAACAAGTCGTAGTACATCGGATTAAAGCACAAGTCGGTTATGGTATGTCTGCCTATTTTGTGATGTGTAAATTTCCACAAAGGCAACAAAGTACCTTCTTCTTCTCTGAAGTCATCTGCAGGATCCTCCCAGTATCTGTAGTCCTGTGATATGTGATCAAAGGTATTTTGATTGATCATTCTCTCAAGGACCTTCCAACCTTCAAATATACGTCTAGTAAGCACTTCTGCTGGGTTCAGGGCTTCTACACGTACCTCGACTTCATCATGTCTGTGTATAACTTTCTTTTCTTTCTCCTTTTCTCTTTGTTGAGCTTCAAAGTCAGCTTCCATGTCATCATAGATTGTCCACTGGTACAAGATGTCTCCGAACTGGGAACGAGGTGGTGGAATTGTCTGGGTTTCCACGGATCTACTTGGATTGTTATAAGTTAAGGCTGCTCGTTCACAGAAGTTGAACTGGTTTTTGAGTTTGGCCCCTGGGCGTGGCATGGGAGCGGGTTGGGGTGGAGGTTCAGTAGGTTCCTCATCGCCTTCACCGGCTTTAGGACCAACCTCAGCAGCAGCTTCTTCTTTTTCCGTGTCACCTTCGCCGCCTTCATCTTCTTCTTGGTCTTCTTCGCTTACATGCTCCTCTTCCCAGGCTTCTTTACCTTGTTCTTCATCTTCGACAGTCTCAGCGACATCTTCCTCCGGCAACTTCCTGCGCCACTCATTCAGCATTTCCTCGATCTCCTCTAGTGTCAGCCCTGAATCAATCAACTGGGTGATTGCTTCTTCCGATTCGCGGTGCAGACAAGTTCCTGGAAATTCTAGAAGCACCACAGTGTTTCCTATTGGAGGCACAGGAACGAACGTACGTTCTGCATAAGAGTATTCCACCAGGTTGTCAGGTTTGTTGGGGTTATCGCAGGATATCAGACGAGGGACTTCCTCGTTCAGTTCGGCATCTGGCAGCTCCAGTTGGTCGTCGGGTTTTTGGAGTTGCCGCGACTTTAGCCACTCGGCCATGTCGTCGGCGGCCCCCTGGGACTTACGGGGCTCGGCCATTTCTGGTTCGACGGGCTTTTTGGAACTTTTAACCCTGGTAATGGAATTATGATTTTTGGTTATTGATAAATAAAACGTCACTGTCATTAAATTATTAAATTGACAATTGTGTATATTTTTGGAATATATGTTTAATTTTATATACTAATGATATTAATGCAATATTTATATAGAATGTTTATGAAATAAGTTATTCCACATATCGGTAGTATGTTGCATACGACCTTTTTTTATCAAAGATGTAGTTTGTTTACTGAATTTTCAATAACTTTTTATGTACTTGCTAAAAACGCCTTTTTTCCCCCTTCATATATCTTATATAAATTTGAAACCATTCGATTCATATGAATGGTGTATGAGGAAAATCGCTTAACATTAAATTATTTATAACTTATTCTAACAATAATGTAATTTTTTTAAACAAACTTAAACAGTTGGTTTAATGACATTAATAATAAGGTTTTATTAATTATAGTAACTAAGTGCTTATAACAGTGTTTTCCAACCTTTTTTTTAACGCGTTTCCTAGTTTCCTTAGATTTTTTTACTTTTTTAATTATGTAATTTATTTCAAGGGTTACAAAATAAGATACAATGTTAAGTAAAAATATACATGAAACTAGTGGTGTCTGGCATAGTGCTTTAAGGCAAATTGCTGGAACTTCCCGTACCATAATTAAATATTCGAAAAATAAAATTTATTCAAAAAATAGATATTTTCAAAATAGAAAAAATCGAACAAAAATTTTTATTTCAAAAGCAATCGTTTCGTCATCTTAAGCAGAAAGTTTTTTGAATCATTCAAATCGGATACTTAGCACTCCCAAAAATTGCTACTTTTTGCACATTTAGATCGGCTGGACCTGCCTTTGCTAAAATCTAACTACCATCATTACGAATTGAATGTTTATTCAATCATTCAAATCGGATGCTTATAGATTTCTATTTTCTGCACTCTTTGCTCCGTATCTCCGAAACAGCTAGACCTGCCTTTAACAAAAACGAATCCGTACATCTCTCTGCCAATAGAAATCGAATGTTTTTTTGGAACTATTTAAATCGGTTGATCTGTGCGCCTGAAAACGTGGACGAATAATTGTATCCATACATATATACACACACCACCATTTTTTCTGAGGTATGCCAAAATGTTCAGAAACTTCTGAAACTTGAAGAAATGCAAAAATTTTCAATTTTCATTTTTGGACGATTACAATAACTTACCCTACAGGTGATTAAAAAACAATTATTTCTGTATTCTTTTTTTTAATAAATTAGATGTTTTTATTCGTAATCAAAAATAGTATTTTTCGAATGTCTCCCTAGGACAGCCTAGCGACCTCCTAAACGGAGGCTCCCTAGGACAACCTTGCGACCTCCTACAGGTTGGAAAACACTGGCTTATAACATATACAATATTCTAGATAATAATAATGATATTTTGCATTTTTTATTTATTTATTTATAACAAAATACCCTTTTGTCTTGCTAGTTTTAGACATCTCTATAGACTTTTCAACATGGCGCGTTCGTAAACAACTTTTCGTTACCAAAGAAATGTTAAGAAATCAATATAAATAAACGACGCTTAGGGATTCTAAATATAGATATTTAAGATTCAAAGGTATAGCAAGAAATATATGTATATATTTGAAAATTATAATTTAACCCTTTCCACTCGGATGCCGTCTCTCCGGCGGCAAAATACATATAATTCTCGCAATTCGCGAGTGGAAAGCGTCGAGATATAAAGTCAAATTTTGTCACACACATACTTTTCCAATTTGGGTGTCAAACGATTCAGAATGAATAGGAAACAAAAATTAGCAAATTTTGGGTTTTATGGCGTAAGCATAAGCTTCTCTAATTGAGAAGTTGATTTTAACTATTTATGTTTTTAACACATTTTTTTCAACTTCGGTGTCAAACGATTCAGAACAACTTGCAACGCCGAGAAAACAAAATTAGCAAATCAGATTTTATGATAAAAACGCAAACGCAAAAGAAATCAATAGCAAATATATTTATGTTTTTAACTTAATCATTTTTCGACGTTTCGAGTCATTCTCAATCTTTTGACACAGTTTTCTTAGAAACAGCTGAACCGATTTCAAATATTTAAAAACCATTTGATGAAATTCGATAAAAAATCAAACAATAACAAATGAAGAAGTTCTGCGAAGAAAGGACTCTTTTGAGCACAATCATGAAAAGAAAAGGAAACTGGATCGGATCCGTTCTGCAAGAAGAGTGTCTCCTGCACGACGTCGTCGAGGGTAAAGCAGAAGGACTGAAAGGAATGGGAAGAAGAAGAATGCAGATGATTGACGACTTACGCGAGAAGGGAAATTACAGGCAACTGAAAGCCGAAGCGCAGGATCAGGAAGCATGGAAACAGAAGTTCGGAAAGTAAAATACATGAATCGAACAATAATAAATGAAGAAGTCCTGCGAAGAAAGGACTCTACTGAGCACAATCATGAAAAGAAAAGGAAACTGGATCGGACCTGTTTTGCAAGAAGAGTGCCACCTGCACGATGTCGTCGAGGGTAAAGCAGAAGGACTGAAAGGAATGGGAAGAAGAAGAATGTAGATGATTGACGACTTACGCGAGGAGAGAACATACAGGGAACTGAAAGCCGAAGCGCAGGATCAGGAAGCATGGAAAGAAAAATTCGGAAAGTAAAATAAATGAATCGAATAATAACAAATGAAGAAGTCCTGCAAAGAAAGGACTCTTTTGAGCACAATACGGAAAAGAAAAGGAAACTGGATCGGATCCGTTCTGCAAGAAGAGTGCCTCCTGCACGACGTAGTCGATAGTGAAATAGAAACTGAAAGGAAAGGAAAGAAGAAGAATGCAGACGATTGACGATTTGGGCGAGGAGAGAAGACACAGGAAACTGAAAGCTGAAGCGCAGGATCAGGAAGCATGGAAGCAGAAGGAAAGGAAAAGTGTAAGAAGGGAGGTTGTGGTATTGGGAATCATATACGACGAATGGCAAGGGAATCATTTAACTAACGGGGGAGGAAATAGTGGTAATGTGAATGATAGTCGACGAAGGGCAAGGGAATCATTTATCTAAGGGGGGAGGAAATAGTGGTAATGGGAATGATAGACGAAGAAGGGCAAGGGAATCATTTATCTAAGGGTGGAGGAAATAGTGGTAATGGAAATGATAGACGACGAAGGGCAAGGGAATTATTTATTTTGGTGGCTCTCGCACCATGGACCTGCCTCGGGCAGACTACCATTTATTACTATTATTATTAATACTACTATACAACTATGCTATATAAGTTGTCGCGGCTCTATGGAGTGCGGAAACAATTAAAAATGAAGTATGCGAAGTCACTGTGTTCTGATGATTGATCTTAGCAAGATCTAAAACTATTATCCAGAAAAGTAGTTGAGCTACATAAATAATTAAATTCAAAATTGTTGACATAAATAGCATGACATGCCTTTAGAACAACTAAGGAATGTATATATGGTGTGAATAGATTATATATTGTGAGACAAATAGTGACAATAGAGGTGAATATTGTAGAGTGTGTAGTTAAACAATAAAAGAGTAATCAGACATTAAGAAAGTTAACAAAGTCATAGCTTCCGTATTAGCATATGTTGAAATCACATAAAAACACATATTACAAAAATAAATATTTATTATTATTAATAAAAAAAATCATAATATCACATATCTACAAATTCATTCTCCCTGTTGTACTTCCAAACTTTGTTCATTATCGTCCAATATTTCTTCTTTCATTTTATCTCTGAAATGAATTTTCATGTGCTTCTTCAAATTCTTATTTGAGTTAAATATTTTACTACACACATCACATTCATAAGAAGTCTTTTTCAAATGAGTAACCATATGGTTTTTCATATCTATAACTCTCTTAAATGTTTTTTTACATATCTCACATTCGTAAGGTCTTTCATCATTATGTGCAGGTACATGTGCTGATAAAGAATGTGATGTTTTAAACTCCTTATCACACACCGAGCATTTATAAGAGCCTTCATGAGAACGGCCGTTCATATGACGTGTTAAAGCATCTTTGCGTATATAAGTTTTATCACACAACTCGCATTTGTAAGGGCGCTCACCTGTGTGTGTTTTCATATGCTTTCGTAACAATCCAACAATGCTGAAGGATTTTTCACACACTTCACATTTATGTGGACGTTCACCAGTATGTGAAAACATGTGCACTTTTAAATTATAAGATTCACTGTAACTTTTGTTGCATATTTTGCATTGATACTTGTCTGCATCGTAATGCCTTGTCAGATGGATGTTTAAGTCTCCTTTTCTATGGAAAGATCTCTCGCATACCTCACATTTATGTAAACGCTCACCGCTGTGGACAACCATGTGTTTTTTCAAAATCTCTAAAGATTTAAGACTCTTGTAACATATTTCGCATTGGTAACGGCATTCTTCTTTATGTAAAAGCATGTGTTTGCTTCGGTTGGAGGATTTATTGAAGACTTTATTACATATTTCACATTTATAGGATTTTGGTTTGTGGCTTAACATGTGTCGTTGTAAAAGATGGGATGAGCCTCTTATAGCGTTACATATTTCACATCTATAAGAACCTTTAGTAGATTTTTGGATGGTTGAAGTTTTTTCATCTTCTGAACATAATTCTGATTTTATATTTGGAATTTCTTCTAGTTCTCTGTTTGTATCTGGAATCTCTTCCACTGAATATTCGATTGGTTCAGTTTTAATTGCAACTTCTGGCTCGAAAGACATATTGATAATATCACATGAATAACGTATTTGTTGTAATACATACAATTTCACTAATTATTAGCAAACTGATATTTATTTACATGTTTGTTTGGCTTGACACAAATGTCAAAACTGTCAAATATGGCCGCCCTGAAGTTGGCAAACTTTAAACAAAATATTTCAATATTTAAATGTTAAAACTCGTTAAATCATCGGATATTAAATGAATAAAGTATTTTTTATAATATATACAATTTAACTAATTATTAAACGTTAACAAAGTGATATTTATTTACAAGTTTGTTTGGTTTGGCACAAATGTCAAAACTGTCAAATATGGCCGCCCTGAAGTTGGTGAACTTCAAACAAAATATTTAAATATTAAACGTCGTTAAACCCTCGGATAATATATTAATACAGTATTTTTTATAATATATACAATTCAACTGATTATTAAACGTTAACAAACTGATATTTATTTACATATTTGTTTGGCTTGACACAAATGCATAGACCTTATACAATTTCATGTATTGTATAAGGTCTATGCACAAACCATTTATGCTTATTTATCTATGGCACAAATGTCAAAACTGTCAAATATGGACGCCCTGAAGTTGGCGAACTTTAAACAAATTATTTAAATTTTAAATCTCGTTTGAATATTAAATAACGTCTGTTTCATTAATAAAACATTAAAATCACTCATAATTATCGTTTGCCGTCTGTTTATCTGTTTTTTCAATTATTTTTCATTTTTGGTTTAAAACCATATGTTGGTATGTTCATAGCTTACAGTTGATATGTTTAAATTTCATAGTGCTGTTTGTTAAATACCAAAATGTCAGATTTATCTCAGAAATATACTTGGATATTATCGTTTTATAATTTGTTTAGTGATCTGCTACTTTAAAATGTTGTGCAAATATTTATATTGTGTATTGATCATCAGGATTAACATCAGGAATATCCAGTTTGGGTAAATATTTATATGTGCATAAGACATAAGACATGTCTTATTAATCACAAATGTTGGTGAGTGACATATTAAAAATTATCCATCTGCATTTTACTTTAGACAAAAGTAAGTACAATATTAAACTAAGACAACTTTATGCAAAGAATTGTTAAATTGTTGCATCAAACTCGAATATTAATTTGAATGTCCTGAAAAGCTCATCAAATTTATCACTGTGATGTCAAATTAAGCCAAAGTTTTAAAGACTTTACTCAGAAAATTATTGCAACCATTTACCAATTGAAGGATATAAACAATTTATTAAATTAACAGGTAGATATACACAATCTATTAAAGTATTCATTGTATGTAAAAGTGCTTTGCTTTTAATTCCAAAAGATCGAATTCTTAATGCACTCACTGCTGGTCGTTTGATAATTCTATTCTAATTTATCATTGATCACAATATTACAAATATTTAATTATTCTACTTTTTATTTCAACACACCAAAATTGTTTGTTTATAATTTTATTTGATTTTGTTGTGCTAAAAACAATTGCATTTTTATGTGTTTATTGTTAATTTGTTCAACCTCAATCTTAATTTCATTAATTTTGTCTCCGATATACATATTTTCACTATGTGAATTTACAATTCATTAAGTAATTGTTAATTTAATTGTTTATATATAATATAAACATTTATTTGACTCTTTGCCCGACAAATTGTTAATAATGGATAATTATAAAATAAGAATAAGTCTTTAGGAATAATAATCTAAGTCTTTAAGAATAATAATCTTTAAAAATTGAGTAAAAGTAAAGTTTAAAAAGTAGCAGTTCTAGGGCTTTTATTATATTTATTACTCATAAACATAAAAAAATATTATAATTTCTGGTACATCTCAGCTGTTATTTTGGCAATTATAATGTACATTTTTCTTGTATATTATATTCTAATATTATCTAGGCTCATAATTTAAGCTAAATTCAAATTTCAAGTGAATTGACATTTCTATTTCAAAGTGTTTTATTGTAATTTTTGCCATTTATTTCCACAGTATTGCTATAGTTTTATCGTTCATTAAATTTTAAAAATTTCCTTTGACAAACTCTAAAAGGAATTATCAAAATCCGAATAACCGTTTAGTAGAAGTATCAAATCATACACCCATACTAAAGAATTTTATATATAAGGTACATTTATTTATAATTATTAATACATTGCCCATGGAATGTACTTTATTTTCTATAATATTTTATTTATTACCCTAAATTTTATATTTCATAGTCTTTTACATCTGGTGCTCCTCTCTAAAGGCCCCAGTCCTTCCCCGGTGCATCATCCATTACTTTGAATGCATTTTCTTCTTATGTTTTTGTAAATACTCTGCAACGGCAAAACACTTTGTGCATAATTCACATTTAAATGGTCTTTCATTGCTGTGACTAGAAGCGATGTGAGTTTTCAACAAGTGCAATTGAATGTAAGACTTCCCACAAGTCTCACACTTGTGAGGACGTTCCCCGGTGTGATACCTCACATGTTTATGGAAACTACTGGAATGAGCAAAATTTTTATTGCATATGTCACACTTGTAACGAGTTACTCCAGTATGAATGGCCATATGATTTCTTAATTGTACTGAATCGATGAAACCTTTATCACACATTGTGCACTGGTGGGGACGTTCCCCGGTGTGAATCCTTCGGTGTTTTGATAAATTGCTTAATTGGATAATCTTTTATCGCAAATATCACATTGGTGGGGTCGGAAACCAGCATGGAAGTACAAGTGTTCTTTTAACTGTTTAGCATCTGTGTATGCTTTTTCGCATAATTCACATTTGAAAGGGCGCTCTCCGGTGTGTGTCATCATGTGTTTCTTCAAACCATCTGAACGATAGAATGCTTTTGTGCATAACTCGCACTTGTATTGCAGGTCTCCGTATGGAGGCGCATGTGCTCTTTTAATTTGTGTTCCTTTGTAAATTGTATGCTGCAAACAGCACATTCAAAAGGCTTTCCTGTGTGTATCAACATGTGCTCTTTCAGTGAAGTCGAAGCTTTAAAACATTTACCACAAATTTCGCACTTGTAAGGCGTTAGGCCTGAATGAGACTCCATGTGGCGTTTCAAAAACCAACGTTCTCTAAATGTTTTATCACATACTTGGCATTTGAAGGCACGTGTGTCATCGTTGTGATATTTTAGGTGTCTGGCTAAGGATTGTGGTCTCATGAATGATTTATCACACAATGTGCATGCGAAAGGTTTTGGGACATTGTTTGTGTTGTCTTCTTCAGGAAGACTGTCATTTGATAAAACAGATAAGTCTTGCTCACCTCCTTCATCCATGGTGGCTTCGAATTTCATTAATTCTTCGACTTCTGTACCATGGCCTTCATCTGATTTTACATCGTTGTCTGATTTTACATATTTTTCTGATTTAA